CTCTTTTCGGCACCCGTATTGGCATTCCCTGACTTCGATAAGCCATTTCAGATGGATACAGACGCCTCGGCTATTGGCGTTGGCACTATTTTGTTGTAGGAAGGCAAGCCGGTGGAGTATTTCAGTGAGAAATTAAGTTCTGCTAGACAAAAATGGTCGGGTTACTAGCAAGAGCTATACGTTATGGTCCGGGCACTCAAGCAATGGGAGAATTATTTGTTGCATAAGGACTTCGTCTTATGTAGCGACAATCAAGCCTTGCAATACATTAACAATCAAAAGAATATCAGTTGTATGCACATCCGATGGATTGTATTCTTCCAAAGGTTCAGCTTTGTTATTAAACACAAGACAAGCAGTACCAACCGTGTCGCAGACGCTCTAAGTCGGTGTGCTGCATTGCTTACCCATTTACAAACTGAAGTCACCGGACTGCAAGAATTGAAGGAATTATATGTTGCGGACAAAGATTTTTCTCAATTTTGGAACGATTGTATGCAAGGGAGGCCACAACATGACTTTTCCCTGCAACATGGGTTTTTATTTAAAGGCAACAACTTATGCATTCCCGATTCGTCATGGCGACAACATTTAATCAAAGAATTACATAGCGGCGGGTTAGCAGCTCATGCAGGGTCGGACCAAACTCTAGAGCTCCTTCAATCTCACTTCTTTTGGCCACACCTTCGGCGGGATGTAGCCCGATTTGTAGAACGGTGTTCTGTTTGTCAACATTACAAAGGTACGACTCAAAACACTGGGCTTTATCTATCGTTACCCACTCTCGACTCCATTTGAGAAGACTTAACTCTAGATTTTATCTTGGGTCTACCTCGAACCAAGCTGGGGTTAGATTCGATTATGGTTGTGGTAGATCGATTCTCAAAGATGGCACATTTTGTTACGTGCAAGAAGACTTATGATGCCATCAATATTGCACATCTTTTTTTAAAGAAATTGTCAGGTTACACGATCTTCCCCGAAGTCTCACCTCTGATCGTTACGTCAAGTTCGTCAGCCACTTCTGGCGAGAACTTTGGAGGTGTTTAAAGACCGACATCAAATTGAGCTCCGCATACCACCCGCAAACGGATCGCCAGACCGAAGTCGTCAACCGAACACTTGGCAACATGCTAAGCTGCCTTGTCCAAGACAATCCTAAAAAGTGGGAAGAACTTCTAAGTCACATGAAATTCACTTACAATTCATTGACGAATCACTCCACTAATATCATCCCTTTTTATGTGGTATACACTAAACCCCCTAATCACTTAGTTGATTTGGCCATCTTACCCAAATGCAGCAGATTCGAAGTCACTAAGACCATCTCTCAAGCCACTGAAACCATCTAGACAGTGAAGAACATACTCCAGGAGTCCAATGCTAAATGCAAGCAAGTGGCATATGCTCGCCGGCGCTTCAAGAGTTTTAGTCCGGGCGATCTGGTGATGATATGTATGCGCCGCGAACGGTACCCTCAAGGCAGCTGTTCAAAACTTAGCCCCAGAAAATTGGGTCCATTTCCGATTCACCACAAAATTAATGACAATGCTTATGTCATTGATCTGACACCTGATATTCACACATCCCCTATGTTTAACGTATCTGAATCGCTTTCCACTGGCCATTGCAAGGAGTAAGATCTTAGGGAGGAAGGAAGAAGATTTGAAAATAGTTTAGTGAAGAAAATTGTTATTTCTACCATTTAAATGGAAATCGATCATATTATGCATTTAACACTTGGCAACATGCTAAGCTGCCTTGTCCAAGACAATCCTAAAAAGTGGGAAGAACTTCTAAGTCACGTGAAATTCACTTACAATTCATTGACGAATCACTCCACTAATATCATCCCTTTTTATGTGGTATACACTAAACCCCCTAATCACTTAGTTGATTTGGCCATCTTACCCAAATGCAGCAGATTCGAAGTCACTAAGACCATCTCTCAAGCCACTGAAACCATCTAGACAGTGAAGAACATACTCCAGGAGTCCAATGCTAAATGCAAGCAAGTGGCATATGCTCGCCGGCGCTTCAAGAGTTTTAGTCCGGGCGATCTGGTGATGATATGTATGCGCCGCGAACGGTACCCTCAAGGCAGCTGTTCAAAACTTAGCCCCAGAAAATTGGGTCCATTTCCGATTCACCACAAAATTAATGACAATAAAAACTTTAATTTGATAAATTCAAATAATTGAAAAGTAATATTTTTTCTAAAAATGATAAGAAAGCATAAAAAAAATAATCAAATCAGAAATAAATTTTCTACCCACTTTAATATTTTTGTTAAAATCAAAGATATTAAATACAAAAGTTAAACTAAATAGATTAATAACCAGGAATTATTATTATTATTTTTTACCAAATTAGGATGTTAATTTTCGTGAATCTAAATAATAAAATAAAATTCATTTAAAATTCGTGATCGTAGAACCGGTCCATAAATTCGTCATCCCCACTCATTAATTAGTCACGAAATTTGCATGTTAAAATTCGTAATGGCCATTTATAGATTTTTGACGTTCTGTAATGCCAAAAAATATTAACATTCACATAGAATTGGAAGCTTGAGACCCTTTGTGATTATTGGAGCCGGATTATTTTTAGAAAGAGGTTGATTTTAAAGTAATTAAGAAAAATAAGTATGATTATTAAAAAACCGCTTTTATTTTACTCTTGATCTACCTAATCAAACAGGGGAAATAATTCTCCTGCGTTTATTTTGCAGACAACCAAACAGACTCATAATACGAGCTGGTTTCTAATTCGTACGAAACAGGCCCCCTAATACACGCCTAATACTTCGGAGGGTTTTCTTTTGTTCCACTAAAAATTAACCAAACAACCAAATTTATTAATTACATGTAATTGTTTTACTTTACACTCCTAATTCAAGCAATCAAACAGCCCTTCAAATTATTCGAAATACACTACATTTACTTTGCTTTACGGTGTATTTTCTTTTCAGTCAACAAAACAGCCCCATAATATGTATATATATTCGGCCCAGGCTAACTGTCCGTAGACTTACCTAAAATTACAGAATTACCATCAATACAGTTTATATATGCAAGAATGGGCTATTAACATGGCCCAGCCCACTTAAATGACGGTGTTCGTTATTTGTGCTAGCATCACGCTCTGAAGATTAACAATTAAACACTCAGCAGGCTTTAGCCTGATCGCGCTGCACTTAATTGTCCATTTCATAGAAATTTCACCTTTAAAAATAACCTTTGCAACAAATAATAAATCGCATAATGATTTATAATTATTAATAAATAAAAATAATCAATATGTAAGCAACAATTTTGAGATAATTTATTATCATAATTTCATATACAATTATTACAAAAAATAGAATTATAATGTTCAAATTTATGATAGAAAGAACAATATACTTCTGACCTAGCTCAACATTGAAGGACCAGGCTACCTTGCCACCACCTTATCTGCCACTTGCCATCGATCATTGTGGTGCCTACCCCTCATCACTCGTCATTAGGGTGTAAACGAGTCGAGTCAAGTTTAGGCCCTTATCAAGCTCGGCTTGTTAGATGAAAAGCGAGCTCGAACTCGAGCTCGTCTCACTGTAAACGGGCTCGAGCCTACTTGCCAGCCATGGGTGATAATTTTTAAATTTAAGCAGGATTTTTAAAAATTTTAAAAATTAGGTGGGATTTTTTATACTTAAGCGGGATTTTTAAAACTTAGTTAATTTTTTTTAATAAATATAAAATGTTTAACATTTAAATAAAATTTAGGTAGTTTTTATTTTTTTTATTTAATAAATAAAATAAAATTATTTTAAAATATTAATATTTATTCGAGCCTGTTCGCGAGCTCGATAAGCTCAGCTCGTGAGCCCATAAACTTATCGAGCTCGAGCTGACTCACGAGCCTGCTCGGCTCAGTTACTCCCCTACTCACCATTGGTCATTGTCAACCACCACCGCCGTTGCCGCCCTCTTTCGGCTACCCTCCGCCATCTGCAATCATTGCCCTCGTCTGCCCTGAAGCTCTTGTCCCCATCGCTCATCGCTAGCCACTACCTCCCCCACAGACCACCAACATCATCAGTGTCCTCGGCCAACCACCGCCATTTTGAGCTTTATATTAATTGCATTCACATTATTTCAAAAAAAAAAACTAATCTTACATCATATTTTTATAATATTACACAAACAACTTCAAATATTTCAATTACACTACTTTATTCTTTTAAGCCGCATTCCTTATTCAGCAAACTAAATAACCTTTAAATGTGAATAATCGCTTAGCAACGTGATCATACTTCATGCGTATTAGATTTTTTTCATGCTAAAAAAAATTAATGTCTAATGCACATAACTAATAGAATATTAAGAAATTATAAATATTTTTTACTATTATACTACAACATATGTTACTATGTTAATTAAAAAATTAATTTCCGATATATCAATATGGACAGTCACTAAATATTTATGTAATCAACAGCTATGATCAACGATTTCATTTCCAATGATAGCTAAGTATTTCCTAATAAACTAGTTTTGCTTATAAATGACAATAATTATTTTCATAATCATTACAGGAAAGTTTACAAATATATAGCATAAATAAACCACAAATCATTAGATTTAATGTTAAAAAAATAAGATTATCGCAGCACAAAATTATATCTTTCCTGAAAAATTTAACCTCCATAAATTTCCTTGCAGCAGTTTTAAAATTTAAAACTGCTACACGCCTGCTATGATTGTAATGCGCTACAACAACATTCAGCAGCGATTTTAAGACCGTTGGGGAAAAGACATACAGCTATTTAAACCGCCACAGTTAGCCGAAAAAAAAATGATTCACATAAAATTTTGCCGGCTTCAATAAATTAAAAAAAAAAAATTCTATTCCCCTAAAAAAGTTAAAGAGAAATCTGTCCTAAAATTTCGGCCAAAAGCTGAAAATGATATCGTAAAATTCAAGCCAGAAAGAACGCTTTTTGTCATACTCAGCAAGCAAATTTTCTTATCAATATATATGTCCACCGGTACTTGCCGATCATCTCAACCAAACAAAATAAACTGTTCGACCAAATAAATAATCACATCATTTAGTTCTTAACAAAATGAAATTCAAAGAAACGAAAATCAACCGTTCAAAACAAAAGCATCAAATGATCATTCGATCACTTATAATCCACAAACATCAAAGAACAAGCAAAAAACATTCCCTTCTCGAGCTCTCTCATTACTGCTGCTTCTCTTCAGCAGGAGCATCTTCAACATTGAATTCAGAGACTTCCGGCTTCGATTCTGCCTCTTCGGCCGCGGCTTTCACATTCTCCTCCCCCGCAGCACCGGCGGCCTCCTCGGCCTGTAAAATAACTCTACTTCAGCGCTGCTGAAATCATAACGAATTTTTTTCTTGAATGTTCAAAAAATTAATATATTTATTGTTTTTGTAGAGAAACTAATGTTATTTAATCAGTTCAAATATTTAGAACAATTCTCTTACATCAATAAATTGCTTTCATTATTTGCCAAAATTAGCATATTTCGAATCTAACCATAAATCGTTCTTCTTCCTGTTCAAACAATTTGAAAAGCAAACTAACAGACTGAAAATTTTTGGATCAGAACATCAGAATATCGGATCAAAAATTTTATATTATATTCATCTTAAAATAAATTTAATGTTTTGTTTCTAATTCTGACAAAAAAAAAACATTTTTTTTCTAGGAAGAGAGTAAACTCGCCTCCTTCTCCTGGAAGTAATTGCTGAGTGAATTTTGGCCTTCAGCCTCCTCTGACTTGGCCGCCTCCTGCTCCTCCCCGGAGCCGGCTTCCTCAGCCTTGACGGGTTCAGCAACGTCCTCTACCGGTTTAAGAGCCTCCGTCTCCTCCTTCAAAACCAGCGGCTTCGTGGCGCAACCCCCCATTCTCTCTCTCTTCCGATTCTCTCCGAAGGTTTCGAAATTGATCAGAGAGAGAGAAAGAAAGAAAGAGAGAGGAGAGACAGAGAATGAGAGATGGAGAAAGAGAATGCGAGAGAACGAAAAGAGCTTATTGAGAAAGCGATGCAGCTCCACAGATTTTATAATAGGAACCTCCAATTTCTCGCCGATATATGCTCGCCGTTGCCTTATGAATGGGTGGCCAAACGAAATAAATGGGTACAGATGTGAAATTTACATCTACAGTCTGTATCCTCCCTTAGGCCTTCGTTTGTAACGAATTCGTGTGATCAAAATATATCATAAGAAATTAAATGTTCATAAATATTTTTCTTAATAAAGACATTTAATATTTTATTTTATATTTATATATTTTTTCAATTTAGTTGTTCATATCGTAGATGGCCCCCAACGTTTTAAAATCTCTTTCAAATTTATCTTTTATTTATTTTTAATTAAAATTTGAGGTTTTCTTATTTTTCTTATTATTAATTTTTTTTTAAATCAAATTAATTATATATTTGATGTTGGTGATTTTAATAAATATATTTATTATTAGAAATGAATTTGTGAGTTTTAATTAAAATTGATATAATTTGCTAAGTATTTGTTATGTTATGTTATGCAATTCAAATATTTTTTAAAATTATTTTAATTTGTGTGTCTAATTATTTCTTCCATAGTTATATTTCAAATAATATACAAATGAGCTTTTTTATGAACATAAATGAACAAAATTTATTTATATTCAAGTTTATATATTTCGAAAATTTTATTCAATTACTTAAATAAATTAACATAAATGAATCTGTCATTTTATTTAATATACCAATTCGTTTACAATCTGTAGAACAAGGAATTCCTTACAGCCCATTTTACTTTAACTGGTCGCTTGAAGTTAAAAACAACGATGAATTTACTATAATTGGAAATTTACTATGATTAAGTTAAATAATATCTCAAATATAATTATTTTATTTTCAATGTAAAAAATATAAAAAAGCATCACAATGTTAAAATATATGTTTTTAAAACAACTTTTTAATACAAAAATTACAAAAACTTTATTACTATTTTTTTGAAGTAGTTTTTAGTAGAAAAATTAAATTTGTTTTACTAGAAAGCTACTTTAAGAAACAATAAGAAAGTCGTCCCAAATAAAACTTTATTTGCGAAATTAAAAAAATAAATATGTGGACTTCTCTAGTAAATTTTAAATAAATTGTGTTATTCTTAAGGAAAACAGTTATCATGCCCTCGAAATACTCTTAGCACTCACCCCCTTCACCTAAATCTTAATGATGGTTACAACTTACAATTAATTGCACGCAAGATTATTATTTACGACGCATGCATAGCGTGGAGAGAGGCGGATTGCATCTCAACTCATCTTGATGTGTTGATTGAAAACTTAGGCTGCTAATAAAAAAAAAATTAGTTTTCAAATTTTAAGTATGTTATGTGTGTGTGTGAATTTACCTTAATCTAAATATCCTAAAGAGAGGTGGATTGCATTTTGAGACTATTGCAACTTGTAAGTCATAGGTCAAAATATTACATAAAAATCACACAATAGGAAATCATAAAAAAGTTACAAAGAAGAAAGAAACTATAAAACTCAATCCATAAATTTACAAAACAAAAAGAAAAAGCTCACAATATCCCACAAAAATAAGAGAAATTATTTTTTGCGGACACCGGACCGTCCGGAGGTGAATCAGAATGTGTCATGTCACATAGTACACAGCGGTGCACAAGCGTGGTGCACAACAAACAGGTAACGTGGCATATTTTGTTTCGCCTCCAAACGGCGTCCGTATCCACACAAAATAATTTCACCAAAAATAGGCAAAAAAATGAACAGCTGTTACGGTTCAATGTGAACCGACCAAACCGACTCAGGTGGTGCCAGTTTTGGTCTATAGGAGGCGGCCCAAGCCACCTCCTTAAGAGCTATTCGCCCAAACATATGCCCCACCCCCGGCCGGACTGCATTAGAGAGAGGGAAGGGGGTGGCTAAAGCTGACTTTGGTTTATTTTAGAAATCTTTTTATTATGAATATATTTTTTTTACACCAACCTTGTGTGTTTTTTATTAGGAAGATATATATTTAAAGAAGATGAGAAGCTAAGGTTAAGGCATGCTTGATTATTGTGTTCTCTTGGAGTTCTCTTTTGTGGCTTTGGGCTCTAGATTCATCGTCTAGAGATTGGAAGAGACGATCCTCCTCTCGAATTGAGGATCAATTATATCTTTGCTTGTTCTTGTCTTTGATTTTATTCCTATAATTTAATCTACCGTTTTTTGGGCTATTTCATTAGAGATCTTGAAGTTTTCTCGTTGTTTTCACCAATTCTTGTTAGGGTTGCTTGCGAACTCAAGTATCTCATGCTAGGGTTACTTGTGAACTCAAGTATTTCCTATTAACAGCTTCAGTGAGGAATGCCTTCCCACGTGGCAGAGCTAAGATAAAACATCTCTTGATAAAAAAATGGTCTAAAAAAGTCACTTGTTGCAGAACTGGCACAAAAAAGAGTGTGGGTCGCTCGTCTAGGTCAACCGAGGAGACTAGTGGACATCGCCAAACGCGTCACTAGCTGACGTGGCAGAGAGCTGATACTCCCCATTCAGAAATAACCAGAAATTCTTACGTGTTTCGATGAAGATGCCTACATCTACAGGGAGGGGATGATTTCACTATATTGAAAAAATAGGAATTACAATTGGTTCTCTTTCTTACTTTCATACAACAACCCTCACGCTCTATTTATAAAATTGAAACAAAACAAAATAAAAAAAAAAGTTAATTAATGAAAATCTAATCATTATAAATTAAATCTCCTAATTTTGGCGGCAATCAAAACTCCTAATTAATGCAATAATCAGCCAATAAAATCTTTCCTAATATCTACCAAATTAGATAAGAAAAGATTTATACAACAATTTTAATGTGGCTTAGGCGGCCTCACTTGGTTTGGCCTCAAAATTATTAAGTTCAAAAGGCTAGTTGGCATTTGAATTTCGATCAAACATGCAATACAAAGCAAAATTTCATATTCTGCGCACAAAACCAAGAGTGTAAGGCTTCGTTTGAGACTGCTTGTTTTCGGCTTCTAAAAACAGCTTTTTAATTAACAAAATAATTTTTTTGTACTAAACAGCTGCTTTAAGAAGCAGCAAGAGAGCCGTCCCAAACGAAGCGTTAGGGTCTTTTTGAGACGGCTGCAGTTTCTTATATAAGTGGTTGTAAAACGACTATGTAAAAGCAGCTGCCTAAAATAAATAAAAAAAAAAAATTTACTGAAAGCAGTAACCAATAAAAATCACGGTTACGATTTGAAAAACAAAATAATAAGAAGCTATCACAAACAAAGTCTTAATGAAGTGAAAAAATGAAAAAAAGAATGCGCGTTTGAAATTGGCATAAGAATATCCTCGTTGCCATTCTGCTAGCACGATCTTCTTTGACTTGGGATTCTCAAAACTAAGGCTTCGTTTGTGACGGTTTTCTTACTGCTTCTTAAAACAGTTTTTTAATACAAGAATTTTAATTTTTTTACTAAAAAATAAGTTTTAAGAAGCAGAAGGAAAGCCGCCCCAAACGAAGCCTAAATGTTTAACCTACTTCATTAAAACCCAAGAAAATAGCTTTCATAGATACAGAAGAAAAGTATCCCACATTTTGCAGCTTTTAGTAAATCTTTATGCACCAAGTTTTTAGCAAAGCATTCTCCCTATCAAGCCATAAGTGTATATGTCAGAGTGAGGAAGTATCAAATGAGTCATTATTTGCTAATACAAATAGATGCTTTTCCTGTAACTATATGCCCATCGAAGAAATTAAAATATATCTAATAAGCATCCTTCATGATCAAAAGTTTCCCTCATACTACTTTAAAACTCCAACTTCCATGTCTCTTTGTAACCACTCAAGTCTAGGACCCCTTGAGATCGAGAGATTATTAGATGCGGAGTGCGGACGGGAAGAACCGTCCGCACACAAGTATAGAATACCCAGCTAGGTACCGCTTGGTACTCTGTGCTTGTGCGGACGGTCCACACTCCGCACCTAATAATTTTTCCTTGAGATCAGGTTCTTTAGATAAGGAATAGGATTGCTTCTTTTTTGATTAGGATTATCATTGCCTATCAGCACAAGTAATCTATCAAGTTCCTCAAAACATGTAAACTAATGCCAATTTGTATATATGGGATGTCTAAAGATGAAATTGAAAATGTTAATTCATCTTCATCACTAACCTTACATATCACATTTGCATTTAACTTGCCATTATTTGGACAATATTTCTTCAAGTGCCCTTTCGAATTACAAGAGGCACATTCATCCTTCGCAGGAGGGCGTCTTTGTGATGACTATCCTTTCGACTTCAAATGCGATATATCTAATCTATTAAATTTGTCATATTTTTTTATTATTTGGTTTGCCTCTTAATATTTTTGATGTCTTAGATGTAATATCATTGTGATCAAATTGATCATTCTTCCAATACTCAAAGCAATAAAAACATCACTAAATTTAACCTCATCTTTACTACATAAGAAAGTTGTGGTTAAATGATCATATATTTCGGACCGAGAATTTAGTAATAAATATATTCATCACTAATGTCATCAACAAGATTATGTAAATTAGCAATAATCTTCTTAAAGTTATATAGATGTTCAATCATAGGCCCATTTTGTATACTACAAATAAAATAGCATCTTCGGCTCTCTATACTTACCCATCTACTTGTCTTCTAGTTTCTTCCAAAGACTTCTAGTTTGGGATAAGTCTCCATCATAACTTTATGTAGCCTCCATTTAAGAATTTCGAAAATATTGAAGCTGTCAATTTTCTAACAATTAGCCAATATGAGGTTGCTCATTTCCAAGGTTGAACTAAGAGCAAAATAGAATGGATGTGAGAGGGTGACATGCATAGACACTTGTTATTAGAGATGGTCAAAATAACTATAAAATTCAATTTTATCTGTGAGGAACATCTAGATCTTAATCATAAAATTGTCTATAAAATAGGAAGGGAAAAGAGAGCACCACCAATGAGGGAAACTTCTAATTAATCTCATATATGATAAACACTCAATCACCAATATAATTAGATTTAATTGACTATGAAATCGGCCTCTATTAATTAGTTGAATTGAGATGAACTTGACCCAGGCTAAAAAACATTCCCTCAATTTAAGTTTGATTGGGATTGATAGAAAAGTCATAAATCAAATTGGGAGGTGCACCATAGAACTGTCAAAGACTAGATCAGAATGATCACTTTGATATTGACAAATCAACTTCACATAATTCCTGATCGGGTCAACTCAGTCAGATCAAATGTCCCTATGATCATACGAATTGTTGTAAACATGCTGTGAAATTGTCAAAAAAAAAATAATAATAATAAATTTTAAAAGATGTTCAGATAGTACAGAATTTCTCCCTTAAAAAAAAAAAAAATCAAATAATAGCTTTCTTACTGTTATTATATTTTAATATATTTAATATAAATTCTTTCTCACTACATAAATTTAAAAAAATAACAAAAAAAATGTAAGCAAGCAGATAAATGTCAACCATCAATAAAATAAAACTACGAAAATAATTATCCTAAATACATCCTAAAGTTTTAAACGGTAACATAATATGCCAACAATATTGAAACTTAAAATATTGTATCATAAAATCTTTTTTTGTTAAATGTGTCCCTAATAAAAATTCCTGAATAATAATAATAATAAAGAATCATCTATCATAAGAACTTAGCAGGCAATTTTTTCACATACAATTGTTTAGAATATGTGAATATCAATATACAGAAGAATTAACTGCAGATGAATGAGAATACTAAGGTTAAGAGGCTTAAAATACAAATAAACTAAATAGCAGGTTATTTTTTACAGCACTTCATCCTTACATCCACTTTATGTGTAGAGGCTAAACACTAACAACAATAAAAAAATTAGAGGTAATTTAATTTACCAAAAAAATCCATAATTTTTTTGTGAAAAGAATATAGATGTTGTTAAAAATATAAAATTAAAATTAAAACTTGGAAAAAAAGAAAGATAAAATGAGCTACTTTACACACTTTAAACACAACTCATTTCGTTATTGTAGGGGACATGAACAGATTCTTAGTTTTGTTTCTAACGTACCTAATAGAACAAAATAATCACTAAAAGGGGCAGAAAGAGAGCACAACTAATAGTACCATATTACTTGAAAGATAGATTTCTCTAATGGTCGGTACTATGCTTACTACTTGTCAGTATCAATATTGTATTAACATCAGTAATGACAAAACTAAGCACAGTACGGTCCATTAGCGCAAAAATTTGTCTTGAGCTAAGCTGGCAGGAAAATCTCTGCTCTTGTGAAAACAACAAATGAACATCTACTTAGCTTCATAGATCAGTTAATAGTATTAACTTCAATTAATTGTATTTTGTTAAGAATGTGCCTGCTTTCGTTACCACTGAAAGTTAAGAATTGAACCTATACAAGGTTACCATAAAGGAGTAAGCAGCTAGTTTCCACAAAATAATTTTCCTTGTATAAAAACATGAGCAATTATACTTGAGCAAATGAAGCTTGCTTAGATCGGTTCGTCATTGCAGTCCTTTCATACGCATTGGTCATAGTATGATCATTTAGTATCAACACTCAAGGTAACAATACAAACTATAAGTTGCTTCAGAACTATTCCAGTCTCCACCAAACATAATTCAAAGAGGAGTTCACAATATTTACTTCATTATATTTTGTTAAGAATAGGACTACTTTCTTTACCATTGAAAGCTACTGAAGATTTGAATCTATATAAAGCTACATACCATAAAGGACTGAAAAGCTAGTTGCCGCAAATTTTCCTTTTATAAAACTATGAGCAATAAAATTGAACAAATGAAGTTGCTTGCTGAGATCAGACTCCACTCAACAAAATATCCTTTTTAACCAAGATCACCCTAGAGCACCAGTAAAGATGCAATGTGAAAGATGTTATTAGAATCACATTTTAACTTGGTATATGAATTTGTGGTGCATATCCAAAGTCTTAACATGCCTTTTTATTATTATTTTTTTTAAGTGTTAGCATGCATATAATTTCTGCTTTTATGTAATATGTTTATAGCATATACATCACAGCTTTACTTGTACATGGGGGTGTATGTGGATGTGCTTGCATCATGCATGTGTGTTTACAAATGCATGTTGTGGTTACATTAGCATGTCCCTGTTTGTAGCATTTTCATATAAAAAGTTTGGGAGAAAATGTTCAGGTAAAGTATCACAAATAAACATATAAATGCAAGCTCAAGAGCAAAAGCTGCGGATTCATATAAAAAGACACTCATATAGACGCAGAACTATAGAAGAAGATCCTCAAGTATGATGTTGCCTACTATTCAAAGCAACAGTGTAGACTATATAACAGTAGAAATAGATCAAGTCTTTAACTTCTGTGCAAGTTTACATGCTCAAGAAGCAACTACAAAAGAAGACATTAGAGTATAAAATAAATAGCATAAAAGTGTCCCAACAAACAAAATGAGGTAAAGAAACATTATATTTAATCATAAAAGTATGTTTATCATCATCATTAACCTTATCCCAACAATTCATGCTCAGATTTATGAGTTTCCGTTCTAGATTCCTTCATGCTTGAATGTTGATTAATAAATTAAGCCAATTTTATTCTCTCCCTCTTTTTTTTTTTCATGCTGACTATCTATAATACCTTTGATCTAACCTTTGTTTTTTCCTAGTACTTCAAATTAACTTTATCACACCATCTTATTTGTGCATATTCTATCATCCATTCATTGAACAAAGGACAAACCATCTATATTTATTTTTCAATATATTAACTTCAATAGATATTACTATCACTATTCTTTAAAATAATCATTCTTTAATTTATCCTTTCCAACTTTACTATAAAATAATGCAATAATGAAAACCAAAACATAAATAAATATAGCAATAAGTTCAAGGACGGTTAAGAAAGCAAAAGTTTCTGCTATAAAAAAAAAAAAGTTCAAGGACGGTTGCCCAAACTCCTAGCCTCAGTTTCTAATATACAAATTCGTCAGGTAAGAACTATTGGCATTGGCCACAATATAGCCTCTATGTCTCTGTTATTTCCAAAGAAGTCAAATGGAAAAGAAGGGAAATGAATAGTAGTAGTTGTGGAAACAAAAGAAACCCTTCACAGACACAAGTAATAAATCTATAATTGTAAATGCTCAGTAACAGTATCCAATCCCAAAGGCATCAAAGATTAGAGAACTTTTTCTATGCAGTACCTTCCAGAAGAAAATGAAGCTAGAATAAAAACTAATTCATCTTCTTCAATATTTAGCTGATAACAACCTGCGATAACCAAAACCTTCTAAAGCAAGTCCAATGTGACAGTACTAAGTACCACTAAATTGTAACAAGACACAAAATCTACAAGGAGACAGTTTTCTTGGTGTACCTATCATTAACAAAAGCTTTCAAAACCACCGGTAGATTGAGACATTGCAGCTCCAGTAAATAAGCAGATTTGATATTTCAATTTACTCCACGCTCCAACTGTTTTTGCTTCAAATCTAATGTTAATCTTTCATTTTCAAGTTTTATCCTTTCATTCTTTAACCTCATCTTATCCAATTCTTTGTCCTTCTTCTTGCTAAAACGTTGCCACTTAAGCCGCTGCTGCTCAAGTTCCAGTATCTGAGATTGGATATGCAGACTCTGCTCTTCCAGCTGAATTGAGCGAGACCTCAGCATCTCCATCTGCACCAAAGCAGCCTTGGGACCTTCGGGCAACACGTGGCTAGTTTCAGTGCTAACAGAAATAGAATCGTTCCTTCTGTTGAAATCCTGAGAACCCAAAGAGTTTGGAAAGGACATTTCTTCATGATCCATTCCATGCTTCAATCTTTTGTGGAAACATGATCCGCCACTATCCCTGTGTAACATCCTGTTATCCTCTGCATCCTCTTCCCCATCCTCTGAATCACCTTGATCATCCTCATCAAGATCCTCATGAACAGCCTTCTTTGTGTCATGATCATCTTTACTCATAATAGCCAATTGCAGCGAGCGTTGAAGAGCTGGATTAGCTGGCAAATTCAACCTGTTACCATTGTGGTATGAGCACATCTCCTCATAAAAAAGATGCTTCGAACTCAAAATCTTCCTCACATCATCCTTTGCCTTATCAGGAATATGGCTCATCAAATCCAAGAGAGCTGGATTTTCCACAACTTTGCAAGAAGTTCCTCTACCAAGAATATCAGTAAGCCTCTTATACCTCTTGTTGAGATCATTGAACTTGTCCTCGCACTGTTGAGGTGATACATAGAATCCCCTTTCAGCCAAAACCTTTGATATCAACTTCCACTTCCCTTTCTTCTGCACTATGGTGGCCTTTCTTCTCCCACTGCTATTGCAGTCAGACAAGGTATCTTCCCCTAAGTAAGAAACAGCAGTAATCAAAAGCCTAACCATTAAATCAGTCCACTTCATTCTGTGCCAAGGAGACCCCTTCTTCCCCTTTCCTGCTTCATTCTGGCAAAAAACACGCTCATCGGTGTTCAAGCTCAACTCATCATCATCACTAGCTGAGTTCTTACAGCACTCTCCCTTCTTATCATAATCCATCATCGGATGAACCAGTTGCTGATCACAGTCCTTCAAATGATTTATTTGTGTTGGGAAAACTTCATGCATAGGAGGATGCATCATTAAGCTCTGGCGCTGACAATGGCTTGCCTGCTGCAAATGATGGTGAAAGGGTGCATTTGGGTTTTGATGGTGATGCAGGTGCATGGAGCCTTGGAGATCTATTACCCCATATGAAGCACCAGGGACCATATTACCTGAAGCTAAATTCCCATCCATGAGAAAAAAGCTTCAAAATAAACAAACCAAATCCCGCTTTCTTCTCACCTTATTCTTAGCAGATTGACTAATATAATTAGGTAAGTTGTTCCAAAGAACTAACAGAAGATAGAAGAAACAAATATAGTTTTTTTTTTATTCAATCTCCATAAACTGATACTGACTTAATCCCCGGAATTCCAACAACAATAGCAAAATCGACCTGGAAGCTAAAATCTTACATAGAAGAAGAAAGAGCACGAAGCCGGCAGGGTTAAGAACAACAATAAATCGAAGCAAAATCTCCCGGCAAGGTTAAAAACCCATGTGAATCCCTTATGATTTCCGATTTCCCAACAAAATTCCAAAAATTAATAAGAACTAAAAGAAATTAGAGCAGGAAAAGACTTATCAAGAACGAAATGTGGGTAGAAGAAGAAAAACCTAACCATCAGCGAAGAGACCTGGTAAGAAAAATAGGATTTGGGGACGAAATCATGGCGGAAATGCGGTCGACACGAGAGATTCTCTGAATTGCCACCTACTGGTTTTGCGTACCGACTTTTCCGACCGACGGAGGGAGAGTTTAGCGGTTCGGTTCAATGAACGATGACACCGAGAAAGCGAACCCATTTCTATGACTACCCGGCGGCTATATAAAGTAGAAAGACAACTTCACCCCTAAAATATTTATTTTTATATGCTTAGATATGATGTGTGTTCTAAAAAATTATTAAGACATATATTTATGAACGCAAAATAAAAATAACCATTTTAAGTGTATCTATTCAGAGATTCTTAAATTCATTAATAAATGTTTTTGTTATAGGCATGATGTGTGCTAGAAAAATCACAATGATAGTGATTGAAAGTTATATTTTTGCTTAGATAAATATATATATATATATATATATATATATATAGGGGTGTCAATTCGAGTCAGCGGGTCGGGTTCGGGTCGAACCTGGAATTGACCCGGCACTGTTCGGGTCAACCCGAACCCGACCCGTTTTTAAAAATGGGTCAGGTTTCTAGACCCGAACCCGACCCTATTCAGGTCCGGGTCAACCTGACCTGACACGAATGACCCAAAGTTGACCTAAAATTGCTAATTTTCGGGTCAAAATCGGGTCAAAACAGGTCAATCTCGGGTTTTCGGGTCAAATATGAGCTTTCGTGTCACTTTCGGGTCAATTTCGGGTTGCTGAGTCAACCTGAACCCGACCCGATTTTTAAAACGGGTTGATTTGTTGAACCCGAACATGATCCGTTTCGGATTTGGGTTGACCCGAACCTGGATTTTTCCGGGTTGGATTCGGGTCGTGTCAAAAATTGACACTCCTATATATATAACTAGAGATAAAGTTATACATATCTAGATAATAGATATTTTAAGTGCAAAATTTCGATAGAAAAAATTGATATCGTCTTTTTTAGTCAAATTAGATCAACTAATTTGAGCAAGAAGTTGAAAATGTCTATCATAGGGGTGTCAAAATGAAACTTCAGGTCGGGTTTGGGTCCAACTAGAACTTGACTAGTTGCTAGCTAACCCGACCTGAACCCGACTCAGTTATGAAAATGGGTTAAAAATCTGAACCCGAACTTGACCTCGGGTCAACCCGAAATTACCCACCAACATGATTTTTTTTTTTTTTTTGGCATTTTTGCTATTTCAAATTTATTTAAGTAATTCTATTAAAATACAAAATACTTAAGTACAACTACTTCAAGTGTTGGCATTGGCAGGCATCAATTGATTGTGGAATGATTGCAAATTTTGTATGATATTAGTCCATAAGCCTTTAGTTTTATGTGTTATTGAGGTTGATGAGGAATGGAAGTGTAGCATCAAGAATATAGAAAGGGTCCCACCACCATGGCTCAATATATATAAAAAAAGCAACTAGAGATGTCACCAAGAGCAAGTTGAATATTATAAACTAGAAAATTTTATTTATATTTTATAATTATGTGTGTGAAAAATTCATGTGTTATTGTAATTATATGTGTGAAAGACTTATTACTTGTATTTTAGATTTCATGAGCTAATTGGCTAGTAAAAGGCATTTAATTGAGTTAATTAAGTGCCTCATTATTGTAGGAGTGGTTGGCCAAGCCAAGGAGTTAAGGAGTGTAAAAGCCCATTAAATATGGAAGGAGATAAATTATGGTGGTTACTAGTGTGGGCCACCTCTTTCCCCTTTCCTTCTTCTTTTCTAATTTAAAACTTGTCTTGTGCAACCTATATAAATATTTGATTGGATGTTGAATGAAAATAATTGATGTGTTTTGCGACTAAATTTTGAGGAAAATTTATTAGTTGGAGCTTGGTTGTTGGCAAGATTAGAAAGGTTTTGATGATAATCTCCATGACCACGACTTTGATGAGTAGTAGAATTTTGATGAGTAGTAGAATTTTGTCTTTACTTTAATTTCTATAATTTTTTTTTTTTCATTTGTTCTTTGTGCTATTCCCGACTCTAAAAAAATATAAAATTGAATTTCGTAAAAATCCAATTAATTTATTTAGGGATTTTGTGAGAATCGATCAAACTAGGTCAAAACTAGTTATAGGTTTACTTTCAATTGATTGAATTAAACTCCTCTAAAAATCACCAAAAACTTCAGATCCATAGTAGGCACCCTAAGCTTTGATCTTCATACTTTTTTTTTTCACAAAAAGTTAATACTCTTGAAGCATTAAATTAAATTCAGCCTACAGCTAGAGAGGGATATTCTCATACCAGCCTTGGGAAAAATTCAAGAACCTTTATAAAAACTTCATAAAAAATCACCAAGTTCCCCAAATCATAACTAGACATCTTAACCTTCAGTTTAGTTTTTATTACATATCATTTTGACTTCTAGATAGGGAGTTATAAGGGTTTGAATCAAAGGTTCTAGATCATGGTTGTTTGCTAGAATTAGGTTGGCTAACTACTAAATTCTTTCCAACCCTAATTTCAATAAACTTTAAACTCCACCAGACATAACTTTACTCTCCTAAGCATCTTAGGAGAGTGCCTCATCCACTAATTGGAACACAATAGTTAAATAAAGCCCACAAAAGTAGCAACACTAGGGTAGCTCAACAACGTTAGCGAAAGGTGATATTAGTTAACATTAGGAGCAGGATGTCGATCGATAGACATTGGTCAATGATAAGGAAAACAACTAGTAAAATATCAGTTAACATTAATTGACAATATATGTTTGTGTGATAGTCGTTGCTGAGCTTTTGATGTTATGAAAAATTATCAGTAAAGGTTGATGACTAGCTTTGGAAGTTATATGTTGGTGAATATTGAGAGTTGGAAGGTGGTGGACTATAGGCATTAAGTGGCATTGGATAGTGGACATTTTTATGTTGCAAGTCTGTGAGCATTAGTGAATCAATGAGGCAGGAGATGAGAGTTAAATATTGGTGGACTTGTTGCTTGACAACTATTTGATGTCGATGAAGTGCAAGGGTGGAGGTAGGGATGTTAGTGTCATTCGACAAACAACATAAGGGGGATCATGACAAAAGTTATTGATGTTGATCATTGACTTGCATTGAGTGGTAAATAAAGGAGAGAATATATGGCCAATGTTATGTTAAAGGTGGTGCTGAGTGATTGTGTCAATTGCAATCAAACTTTGGTGATAAAAGATAATATGCATGAAGACAATCAAGCTAAAAAGTGTAATTACAAAAGCTAAGATTAAAGTAGAAGAAAAAGATCAAAGAAAGTGCTTAATTATAAGAGACAATAAAGAGCCCATAATTTAAAATATTTTAATATATTTTTTTTTTTTCACAAAAAAAAATTATGGTTAGCCAGGACATGATTTGGAATGGATTAAACATTAAAAATATGTGTTTGGAACTCTTCCTCATTAATGGCAATCAACATCATTTTCCCTCCTTTTTTTTCTCTCCATGTTTTCCATCCAGAAGTATTTGCACAAGAGTCCTATAATGCCTATAAATATTGGCCAAAATTCTTTATTATTTTTCATTTATAAATAAAATAGTTCGATGGAGAAATTTGACTTGGTGGTTTCAAGTTGTTTATCATAGTGAGTTAGATAATAATATTTGTATATATTTTAAGGTACTTATTACTCATCTTAAACACTTGCTACAAACTCTTCAAATCTTTTTCACCACTTTATTGTCACATTCCAATATCAATAAATCAACAATAATAATCATAAAACCATTCCAAATACTACTATATGGCTCACAGGCCCAAGCCAAACTAGGGAACATTATTACCTAATCTTTTTCCCTATATCTCGACATCCCCTTAAACTTTACCAGCTCTACTATTAACTCTAACTCATAAGCTCACATCTTAAGCTAACCATCTACCATCTGTAGAATCAGATGAGATGAAGAGAGTGAAGAAGAAGTTCTCAGGTTCAAGAAGACCGAGATGTATAGAGAAGTATATTGTCCGTCTTATTAACAGCCTGGAGTACAATTTATATAGATTACTGTAAATCCTATGTCTACGTGTCAAGTACACATTGGACAACAAGAATACAATGTTGTTAATTTCAAATAAGGTCAAAACATTATTATATGTTTTACATGTTTGCTTCTTTATGTCTCTCGTCATTTCACTATAAACTTTAAATTTTTCTTTAAACATTAAACTAAAGATCATTCTACTTCTATGACCATTAATCTCACCAAAAAAGCTGCCCAACTCCATCAACGATCATGGTAAAAAAAAAAAAAAAAAAATATTAAATATAGGGAAACTAAGATAGATATCTCTTGCCAGTAGGATAGCTAATTCATAAATATAAATGCATATGAGCACATAATAACTATTTTTCTGCCATGCACGTCTCAAAAGAAAGAGATTATTTTTCTCCTCCTAAAAAAATTACGTTATCCATCCTTATTTTACTAATTTTATTATATATATATATATATATATATTTTAATTTAGTTATTTTTATTGTACTTGCCCCCCTCAAAATTGAAGATGATACTGCCCCTGGGAAGGAGAATTGAGATATATTTATATATTTCAAGTATAAATTGAGGTATATTTACATGCAACTCATTTTAGAATTGAGATATATTTTAGAATTAAGGTCTTCATACCTTTTAAAGTGCTCAAAGTTAGACAATCAAATAAAAGAAGTGAAAAAGTTGTAATCAAATAAAAGTGTGAAAATAATATGAAAAGTAAAACAATAAAATTCACCCAAATACATCTAATACGTCACCAAAAATTGCTTTGATCAAGCACGAATCTTGAGGCATATTCTAGTTGGCAATTTCCAAAATTAGATGCAGGACCATCTGAACTCCAATTTCAGTAAACATATAGACAAATCAAATGTATCAAGGAGATGAACCCAACGACATCAAAATTGGTCAATTTGAAAGGTTAAAAGCTTTAATTGGATGACAAAATGATCTCTACATATGGCATGCTTATAGTCAATTTGAACGGCTCAATGAAACGATTCCAATGAGCCTAAGATTGCTTCATTCTAACATCATTAAGACACTTAAATTTTTTATAAATGCTTTATTATTGAGAGAATCAGTATGAGACGTCTTGGGTCTTCTTACTATTTACGGAGCATGCTACTCACAAAAATATATATAAATAGGCTTATGCTCTCATCATTAAAAGATATTTTGGCTAGAGATTAGAGAGAGCTCTGAGGCTTCAAACTTCCCAGAGTTCTACCCAAGTACCATCGTTGGTGAACTTCCGTCGACTACGATCCCTCCAACTACCATCGCCCATCGACTACAGTCCCTTCGACCTCCACCGCTTGTCGACTATGGTCCCTCTAACCTCTATTTCCCACTGATTATGGTCCCTAGCTCGGACCTCCATCTCCCATCGAATATGATCCCTATGATTATCATCGTCCTCCAACTATGGTCCCTCGAACCTTCGTCTCTCTCCGACTATGAACCCTCTAACCATCGTTGCTCGCCGACTACGATCCCTTCGACCTCAACCGCACATAGACTACGGTCCCTTCAACCTCCTTCTCCAGCCGACTATGCTCCCTCTAACCTCTGTCACCCTCAAATTACAAACCCTCCAACTACCATCATCCAACTATCATCCTACAACTAAACAAGCAAGCCAACACTCTCTTGTGAACAACTCTCAAATTTCTACCATATAATGTGCTTTATATGATGTATATTTGCGACATAGAGCCAAGGCCTTCCCCCCAAGGGAGGGCCTCATTTGTAATCAACAATGAATACTGGTATAATCATTTTAGTTGGGTCATGCCTCATGATTTTTTTTTTAGAATTTTCACATAATTGTACCTCTTATGACTCTTACACCTCATCTCTCTTATTTGTTTATGTGTTGGATCAGCTTCATACAAAACTTGGACGTTAAACTCTATATATCTCTACCACTGTAAATGTTTCAGGGCCTCATTTGTAATCAACAATGAATACTGGTATAATCATTTTAATTGGGTCATGCCTCATGATTTTTTTTTTTTAGAATTTTCACATAACTGTGTCTCTTATGACTCTTACACCTCATCTCTCTTATTTGTTTATGTGTTGGATATTCATACAAAACTTGGACGCTAAGCTCTATATCTCTATACCACCGTAAATGTTTTAGGACGCTACAACAACATTGTTGCCAATTTAGAGTAGCTAGAAATTTCTATAAAAACTATTATAGAAATATTAATTTTTTAAAAAATTGATATTATATTAACATAATCCATTAAATTTCATTTTAAAAAGTTTCATATTCACAATCAAAACTTTTGAAATGCAAAAAAATGAAAAATAAATTGTTGATATTGTCCAAAATACAAATTTATGATAAAGTTATTTCACATAAATATTTTTGTAGATCTTTTGAGTAAATAAAATGCAAATTCACACACCCACATATGTAAGTGTTGAATCTCAGAATTTTTAATTAATAGTCTAAGCCCTCAAATAATAGATCAAGATTGACTGTATTTTGCATAAATACTTAATATTTTATTTTGTGCGCTCTCTCCTCCCATGAAATTTGACCAAAATCCCTCGTCTCCCTAATCCCAACTAAAAATAAGTAAATAAATAAAGTCCAAAGCTCATTTCATTGTCTACTATATGTATAGTTTTTTTTTTTTTACTTCTAAGTCAATTAAACACAAACTCACAAATCGACCATATACGTAAATTAAAAATTTTGAATCCAAAATTTCTTTGTTGTTAGTCAAAGCTCTTGATGAAATTATTCTGCACAGTCATCGAACGGCATCCAGAGGCAAATCAGAACACGCCACATCATTTTGTTGTTGTGTACCACTACTGTGTGCTGTTTGATACCGACTGACGTGACGCGTTCTGATTAACCTCTACACCGTTTAATGATCTTATAGAATAATTTCTCAAGCTCCAGATGAACAAATACAAGTAAGCTGTGTACTGTCTGTACAATCATTTTGTTTATATTTTATGTTCAATATTATCTGACTTTTTTTTTGGAATGTTAGGGGCAGAGGAATTCCTTTGTGTCAACCAACCAGAGGGGCAGCACGCGCGAGCTCTATTATTTAAAATAAAAATAAAATCGTATTTAATATTTCTACTGTTAATAAACTGACGTGTCATATTAAAATAATTTTGTAATCACGCAATCATGGTGATAATTATTACAAAATACAAGCTTCTGCCGTCGTGGCGATGAACCCGCGGCTGAATTCCCCTTCCATCTTCAGACTGATTGATTCGCACAATCGATGGAGGATATATTAAATAATGTGTAAGGTTGCGTAATGATATCAGCAAAGTAAGATAAGCATCCGAGCCTTATTTTGGGTAATTAAAATTTTCCAACTTTGTACCGTTGAAAAGGTATAAGATATTTATTTAAAAAAATTGCAAAGATAATATATTATACAATAACTATCTATGCCCACTTGCTTTGTGGGGTTTTAAAAAAATATTAATTTTATACTAAAAATTATTTTAAAAAATAAAAGAAGCTTTCTAGTGCAAAATTTTTTATTTTTATACTAAAAACTAATTTTAAAAAATAGTAAAAAAATCATCCCAATTGAAGTCTAAATTATGATGTGAGCTAAGGCCACTAAGGCCTCAAAGTCATTATATGTTTGATCTTTATTTGTCGATAATTTATGACAAGTTATAATCTTTTCTATTTCTAATGTCTAACAAGTTATATTTCTTAATTAAAATAAAAATTATAGCTTTTTGTTGTACAATAGAATAAAAAATCTTTTGCGCTTTTAATCATCACTAGATAATATGATTTCATAAACAAAATTTTGAATAATAATTAAAAAAAAATTTATATTGACTATAGCACTCCGTGCATAACTATCTTGTAAGACTTCAGCAGGCTCCAACGATATCTGGATGGTCATAAATGAAAGAGGTGGTAATTTTATTTTATTATATTGAATGTTATGTCCATAAAAATAAAACTAGTTGGTAAATATGTAAATTATTATTTGTTAAATAGGAACAATTATTAGATCCGGACACTGGACGTAGCTCTACATCTGGAGGCCAATAACATGTCGTCACGTGCTCTTACTCTTTACCGCGCGGCCGGACGACCCGACCCGGACCAGAACCCGGTATTGCTATGTTCGGGTATTGCTAGGTATTGCTCGGTATTGCTAGTTATTGCTTGACAATAACGAGAAATACCGCTCTATTAAGACCAATACCTAGCAAAACCGGGGTATTGCTCGGTATTGGTCTTGACATAATGATATTTCTCGTTATTGCTGAGCAATATCGAGCAATACCTAACAATACCCTGGTCTGCACGAATCAGTTAATACATATCAATCCCGGGTCCGGTCTCGGTCGGATCGTCGGGCCGCATGATAAAGAGTAAGAGCACGTGATACTATTTTACTGATATCTGAACGTAGCGCTAGTCAGGACATCGGAACTAATAAAAATTCGTTAAATAACCATATCATCGCTAAGCGGAGCTGACCCGCTTGGAACCGGTTTAAGCACACTTGGGATTTAAGGCTTTAAGCATTCGAGGAGGTGAGACTGCTGTTAACTATCCATAGAAGAGCGCAGTTAAGTCGAGAAAGGGGGGAGGGACAAAGAGCAAAGAATGGCAACGGAGGAGGAGAGCGCGGTGAAAGAGCCTCTCGACCTCATCAGGCTTAGCCTTGATGAACGCATTTACGTAAAGCTTCGATCCGATAGAGAGCTCCGAGGAAAGCTTCACGTGAGTCTCTCTTTGGTTCTTCCTTGACCATTCTGCTTAAAGCGAAGAAGTCCGAATTTATTTCTTTTGAAGCTTTATCGAGATGCATGCCAATTATCTATTGTAGTTTTTAGTTTTGTTTTGGTTGTAATTTGTCGGTCGTAGCTTATCAATTCCCAGGCGCCGGCGCCTCTGCTGTAACTGCTTAGGGTTTTGTTATTAGGGTTTGTTTGGATGTTCATAATTAGGGATTAAAATCATTAAATCCTTAAATACTGCCAAGCATTGTTTAATGTGTTTATGGATTATGGAGTTTTAGTACATTCTTAAGGGCAGTTTTGATCTAAGTAGGGTTAGGGTTCATTTGATTGCTTGTGGATAGAAAGCATATTTTAAAAGGTGATTGTTGCATTTTCATTCGTTTGTGTGTGAAAATTGTAACAATTAAATTTCAGGGGATTGTAAAGTTCAATTTTCTTTATTAAATTATAGCTTGATTCAACCAAATAATTAAATCTGACACATTTCATTATTTTTTGAAATTTGATTTCTATTTTCAATCAAATTTCCCCTTAGATAAATTCGGATTTATGTAATCCTGCTTTTTCAGGATTCCCATTTTCTGGCAGATATGGATTCATAAAATTTGTTTTGAACTGAACCATTGCCCGTCAAGGGAGAGAAAATAAAAACAAGAGCGGGTGGAGGGTTGAGATAATGCCTAATTTAGATGACACATAAGTTGAGCCATGGAAAAATGTTTTCAGCCATTGTCCGCATTCAGAACAATAACTGTTGCCCAATTCTGGAATTTTATGGGTTTGCTGAGGGTGATGTAAATTTCTGTATGTTTGAATTGTGTTCTGGGTTACACGCTTTTGGATCTTAATTTAACTTCTCCGTTATGCTTAGCATATGCTGGTTAGTGAGAATTGTGATTCTTGTTGCTGAAGGGCATATTATTCATGAATGTTTTGTATGTGTAACGAGCTTTTCTTTTCTTTGGGGCATTTTCAGGCTTATGATCAACATTTGAATATGATACTTGGGGATGTTGAGGAAATCATTACTACTGTAGAGATTGATGATGAAACTTATGAAGAGATTGTTCGGGTAAGCTATCAATTTTATGCTTCATTATCTCATCTTCAAATCTTGGATAGTTTCTGATTTTGGCTCTTTTGTAGAATTAATAAAACTTATTAGAACTATGCATTTGAAGATTTTGCTTTGTGTTTAATTTGAAGCTTATATTTAGCCCTTTCCTAGTTTGATTTCTTCTTTAAGACCATTTGCACATTTGCTTCTTATTTTGCTGTTTAAAGTAGTTCCATGCTTGATACATGCATTTTTCTTCAGCACTTGACCCTTTGTTGGAAATATCAGTTTTTGCTATAATTTTGTCTATTGCCTATGTCCTCTGAAGGGAAGGTTGAGGTCTCAAAGGGCATCATTCAATATATGTGTCTTCTATGTGATGGACAACATCATAGTTTATCTGCTAAAATTTTGAATGAAGTAATTTTGTTCTTGTTATAATGCAATTTTGGAAGTTTATCAGCTCAACAGCTAGGGCAGTCAAAATCAGGTCACGGGTAGGGTTCAGGTTGGCGGGTCGGGTTCGGGTCCAACCCGAAACTGACCTGTCACTGTTCGACCAGACCCGAACCCGACTTGTTTTTGCAAACGGGTTGGTTTTTCAGACCTGACCCGCTTTAGGTCCGGGTCCGGGTTGACCTGCTTCAAGTCCGGGTCAACCCAAACCCGACTCGCTTCCGGTTCGGGTCAACCCGAACCTGGCCCGCTTTGGGTATGCTTTACTAAATTTTTTTTATTTAATTCGATTTATTTAAACCTAAATCTAATTAAGGTAAGATTTACTTAAATTAATTTAAAATAAACAAAGCTTAATTCAATTTGGAAAAAATAGTTTTTTATTATTATTAAATAACATTTATTTATTTCATAATAATATTTTAAAACACTCCTAAATCAATTAAAAACTGGCGAACCCGACCTGCTTTTGGTATGTTTTACTAAAAATTTTTTATTTAATTCGATTGATTTAAACCTAAATCTAATTAACGTAAGATTTACTTCAATTAATTTAAAATAAACCAAGCTTAATTCAGTTTGGGAAAAATAGTTTATTATTCTTGGAAACTAACATTTATTTATTTCATAATAATATTTTAAAACACTCCTAAATCAATTAAAAACGGGTAAAATCGGGTTGATTTCGAGTTTCCGGGTCAACCTGAACCCGACCCGATTTTACAATCGGGTCGAAATCCCAAACCCGAACCTGACCCGATTCGGGTTCGGGTCAACCTAAACCTGAAATTTTCAGGTCGTGTTCAGGTCGGGTCAATTATTGACAACCCAATCAACAACCTTGATCATGGAGTTTGTACTCAGATAAGATTGTCTCAATAATATAATGATCTGATTTGATTTATAGCTTTAACATGATCTGCAAACAGTAAGAAGAAAGATAGTGTTAGACCGGTCTAGCCGGCCTTGCGGGACCGGCCCGTGCGACACAAAGGCGGAAATCTTCCGCCTCTAATTCCTCCGATCTGACCGTAGGAGCTAACGGAACATCTTTGGAAGGTTTTTTGAGGAAGTTTAGGAGGGAAATTGAATGTAGGGACTGTTTAGAGATTTCCTTTTGAATTATATGCATTAAATAGTTTGTTTTCCTAGGGTTAGGGCATCTTGAATTTGGCTGAAATTTGATATATCTTAGATTTAGGTTTTCTTTTGGGCTCTAGCGGCGTCTAGAGATTTGGGAGAGATCGGTCCTCCTCTCGAATTGAGGATCAACTGCATTTGCCAGTTTCCGTTTCTATTTCATTAAATAATACAAATTTTCTACTATTTTCTTGGTTTTGTGTGGATATTTGTGGAGGATGTTCGCTGTTTTTCTGAAGATTGATAGGAATTACTTGAGAGTTGAGACCTTCAAGTGTTTCATATCAGATAGCACATGCTGAAAGTTCTAGAATTTCTTGGTGACAAATGCCATTTGTTTTTCATCTTTGAATTAACTAAGATCTCATGACTAGAAAAAAAGATGCAACTTGAAAATATTAGATCACTCACTCCTTGTTGAATAGACCCAAAAAAATGACGTGTCCAATTAGGCTGCTTAGTTATTAGTATTGATTATACGAGTGTGGGAACTGTAATCAGATGTCAGAAAAACTTGTAGAAATAAGTTGATTGGCCCGGCTCCGATTTTTTTCCTTGCAATTAGTGGATAGGTCAAGATTACAGGGGAGAGAATAAAGAAATTAGGCCTCACCCATCCTCTTCATGTCGTTGAGCTAGTGGCGTCCTCTTCATGTCCTTGAGCTAGTGGTTGAAACCATATTGCAGATGTTTACTACTTTCTTTCTTTTTGAGCTTAACAACAATAATGGAGAATCTGTCCACGCTTGTAAATTGCATAGTAGGCATAAAATGATGAATTTATTAGTTATGTGTTTGACCTTTGATCTCCTGAACCAGGAAAACCTGTTAGTTACCAGATTGAAGGGATACTGTAGTTCTTTAATCAAGGTTTATGGCTTGATGTAGTAAGCTTGTGCTTTTCTTATGTAGAAAGTTGCATTCTGAGGTAGAAGTGGTAATAGCACAACCGCACATATGTGCTACCTATCTTGGCAAGCTATAATCTACTAAGATTGAAAAATTAGCTCCGAGAAATTTAGTATTTGATGCTCGTCAAGCAAATCAATGCAAATTTTGTGCTTCCTATAAAATAATTCATCAGGCATCACAAATAGGTCCATCGCTCCAATACACTAAGTATCATTGGATGGATTCCATCGTTATTGGTAGGCACAATCCCATCATCGAAAACAGCATCAGGATCAAACTGTATATTAGTGTCAAGGATTGGATTGTGAACTCACAAGAGGTGAAGCTAGAGAGGAGTCCAATGAGTTAACTGTAGGCTAAGAAAATTAAGTTAAACTAGACACTTTGAAATTTGGATTTAAACCAAACTATATCATGTTGCGCATTAGTTCAAATATATTTCAAAATTTTAAGTGGTTGAGTCTTCCTTTTATTCACTTTCTTGAAGCTTCCTAATGGAAAACTTTCTAGATCTAAATGCACAGTGAAATTATTACCAGGTTTAAATTCCACATATCTCATGCTCATATTGGTAAAAAAATTTGTAATTATTATTGCAAACAATTAGTTTTTTTGGACATCCTTATGCACATCCAATAAATCATGAAAATGACTATTAAGAAACGAGGCAAGTAAGAAAATGCTAAAATACTAATTTGTTTCCTAAGAAGGAAATATTAATAATGACTACAACTAAATTCTACGAAATGAAATGCTATTGTTGTTATAAGCTGATAAAATCACATAATTTTGATATGCCTATATGGACAAACAAACTTTTTAAAGAAAACTAACTTAAATGTCAGAAAATTATTTATGATGAATATGCACCTTTAGGATTTTGGCCAAATGGTTGGAGCTTTACTTTTAGTTTTCTTTTAATATATTTGTTATTAGCAAATTTTCTAAAGTTTAACACAATTTAGCTCTTGTCATAAGATTCATTCCATGAAATTGTATGTCTCTAAACCACAAACCGATCACAATGATCATCAATCATGTAAAAGACATCAATTGATAATTCTTTATAGTTGTATTTTTAGATTGTTCATTTGATTTATTAACTCCTTCAATTATGATTGGTTAATCTTCACAAGCATACATAGGTTCGGTTTCCATTAGAAATTAAAGCTCAACTTGACCTCATGCTCGATTTTGTTCTCAAATTCCAATCTTAACGTTTAATCAATAATATGTTCAATTTTATGGATTTGATCGATTTCAAATTCTTATAAGTTTTCAAAATCATTAGATGTAAATTCATATTGTAAATCCAAAGCATTTTTTGCATCTAAAACATCCTTACAAATATTCTTGATAAAAATTATTAAATTAAATCAAATTCAACCATACATGTACATGATTCTTATATTGATGTATTTTCAATAGTTTTATATAAGATGCTTCTATGTTCTCGTTAGGAATAAACAAATATGCATCAATCCCAAGCTATGTTTAATGCATCATCTAAGGTTTGTAGTAAATTATAATTGTATTCATTCCTACTTTTTTACTTAAGACTTTTAGTAAAATAAAAGTTGTAATAAAATAATCTAAAGATAAATAGTGTCTAGCTACAAGATTTATAAATCTTGCATAATGGTCGAACAAGTCATCTTTATCTTGATTATAATCCTTAAATTGATTATACAGTTAATCCTTATATTCATCAAATTGCAAGTACTGCTCTGTAAGTATATCCCATATCAGCCCATAATGAAGTAGTAACACTTCGAATATGAATCTAATTAAACATGCTACACTTAACAGGATGAGAAGTTGAGTTGCTTAAAAAGATTTATTAGACAAAATGGGCTCGTGTGATTCTATCATTACTTGCACCTAGGAATGATGTTTAGGATGGATCTAATTGAACATGTTGTACATAAGAGGATAAGAAGATGAATTGCTTAAAAATCTTTATCAGAGAAATTAAGTTCTTATGTGATTCTATCATTACTCGCACCTAAGAATGATGGTACTTAGAGGATGCGCGGAGATAATAGGTCATTTAATAAAATGGTCTTTTATCTATTTATTGTACCAAGATTAGTTGATATATTGGATATGTTGGCTAGTTTTGTTGTATGTTTTAAAAAATTAACTTGTGGAATGTTTTCCATTTATTAAGATTGGAAGAGGATGATGATTGAATTTTTTTTAAAATTAAAAGTGATTTTTCTATGCATGGTTATTGATATCTTTTGGTTTGATTAATGTACCAAGTATTTTGTGAGAACCATGAATCATATTTTATGACCTTTCATTAAAAAATTTCTCTTAATATTTTAATAATATTTTGATTTACAACAAAGAGAAGAAAAGATCACTTGGTGGGGTGGCTGGTGCATATTAAAAAAATCCTTCAAAAGTTGCAAAATAAGAAGTTATATCTAAATTTAAATTGGTGCTATTGTGTGTACATCATATGTAATATTTTTTGGATTTGTTGTATTGAGTGATGGATTATTTGTTATTTTTTAGTCGATTTAATTACCAATTGACGAACACACAAATATACGTGATATGTGTAGTTATCATAGTCTGACTACTTGTAAACAAATCATTAAAGATTTAATATTGTGATGTCACTTATCATAATTTGTCTTAAGATGAGAGTGTTTAAGGGGATGAAATATGTCAATAATATTTTTTAATGATATTAAGGTTTCGTTTGGGACGACTTTTTTACTGCTTCTTAAAGCTACTTTTTAGTATAAATTTTTTAATTTTTGTACTAAAAAGCTGCTTTAAGAAGCAATAAAAAAGTCATCCCAAACAAAACCTAAATGGAAGCTTATAAATACATACATGCATAAACTATTTGAATCGTGCTTAATATTTCTCTCGAACATATTGAATTGTCTATATGATTTAGACATAAGCGGATTGTTTTCTAAATGAGCTGTTTTGAGTATAATACGTGATTAAAAAGTTACTATGTTTTTTTTTTCCCTCTCATTCTGTCTATTATAACCCCTCATCAATACTTTTCCTTTGGCAGTATGAGCTGATGAGCTTATTTGCTCAAATAAAATGCAAGAAGGCACCTCACCTTTTTAAATCTTTTTGTGTTTCTCTCCAGACCACAAGGCGTACTATTCCTTTCCTTTTTGTCAGAGGAGATGGAGTGATTCTGGTTTCACCACCACTAAGATCAACTTGACAGTCCTGAACCTTTATGCAAATCTTTAGATCAAGAGACTAATAGTGCTGAATTATTTTTTGTCATTTTAAGTTAGTATCTCTCTCTCTCTCTGTGTGGATGTTATTTTCAAGGATGAAGGATTTTTCACTTGGTGTTTCACTAATTGCCTGATCCAGGCGCGTTATAATATTTATCAATATAATGCACGTTGGTGCTTTCTCATCAGCTTAAGGCTTCGTTTGAGACGGTTTTCTTACAACTTCTTAATAAAAAAAATAAAATTTTGTACGAAAAAATTGCTTTATGAAGCAATAAGAAAGCCGTCCCAAACGAAATTTAAGTTTTCAAACAAGCCTTATCATCATTTGTGTTTGCTACATTGTCTCTTGTTTTTCCCACCTGATTATGTAGGATTCAAGTATAAGGATCGATGTTGGAAAAGAGTTACTCTTATATTGAAACTATTAGGAGATTTTCAATACCATCATGTGCCATATCGGTCTGCAGTTATGTACTTGGGGGATTTCACATCCCACCAGTTTCCAAAGCTTTTCCTATCTGATTATCAAAATAATTATCAGGGCAACCTTTTTGCCCATATTTGGGTGGACGCTTGAGACTATGGTAATTTTTCATATTGTTTAGTGTTCCATTTTAGTGAGGCTTAACAGGAAAATTATTTTGTGCGGAGTTCGAACGGGAAGAATTGTTTAGATATGTGAGTGCATATATTTGTATATAGTGTGTATCAAATTTTTGTATGATGTATACACTCATAGTCCGAATGATTCTTTTCATCCAGACTCTGCACAGAATAATTTCTCTGCTTAACTGTGTTGTTCAAGCCAAGCGATGTGCTTGAATTTTCGTTGATATCAGCAAAATGTTTTATACTTATTGGTATCACATTGTTCTTTATAGTTAAGTTGGATTGTGCTAATTTAAGAGGATATTTTATTTGAATAAAAGAATATTCTCTTTGAAATAATAAAATTATCTAATATCTAATATTAGATAAATGTATCATTTTACTTCACATGTACATAGATTAAACTCAATGCATGAAATCGAGCTTATATTCATAATAGCTCATAGGTAATAATGATTAATAATATATTTAATTGGATAAAAATTATGTTAGGATATATATAATTAAAATATTTTATTTTTAATGTGAAATTAAATTAGATATATTGATGTAAAATTTTTATTTAATTATTTAAAATGTAAGAAATATATTTAATTGTGATTGATTTGGGAAAAATGAAATATAAAATGTTTATATAACCTTTATGTGTTAGAAATATACATTTTGAACATATTAATTGTAGTACGATATTAAAATAGAATATATTTAAAAATATTTGAACCATTTTAAGGAATTAAATATGTTTTTGTCATTATTTGCAAGAAATGTTAATGTGAAGTTAAATTTTTTATAAAAGAACGGGATATACTTTTACATAAATTATTTTTTAATTATTAAATTCATTATTTAAATTTATTTTAGCAATTTTATGGAATTAAATATATATATTTAGTTAATATTTGCAACAGATGATCATGTAAAGTTAATTTCACTAATTAAATTTGATTAATTTTTTATATGAAATAGAACGGGATATTATTTTTACATAAACTTCTTTTTTAAAATTTTAAATTTGATATTTTTTAAAATTAATGAAATACATTTTTTAGGTTGATACCATCAAACCAGAATGAAATACAATAAAGGATAAAAAATAGAGTGATATACTAATAATAATAGTGAATAAATAGATCAATAACTATGAAAAATTGGAGTGGAATATCATTAAAAATTATAATGTTAAAATATCAAAAAAGTTTTAATTTGGCTCTTTTTCGGATTAGAGAAACAATATGAAAATTTTCTCAATTTCTGTTTTAAATCATGATATTAATAAATAGAAATAAATTATTAAATATATAAATTATTTTAATTTGTTGGTTGAATGTTTTTAAGCTCTAATAAAAAAATTTTATTAAAAACTTGAGTTCGGGGTTTAAGTTCTCTATAAATATTAAAAAAAAGTTGCTAATTAATAATAGGCTGGACCGTTCGAAGGAAATTAGCTCTGCAGGGGAGAAAGGCGCGGGCCAACTGCAAGAGAGCTTGAGTGCAAGGGCGCGACCGAGCGGGTGGAGGAGGCGAGAGCAAGGCGCGGGCGAGGTGGAGGAAGCGGAGGTCGTGAAGAACGCGGTCGGCCGAGGCCGTGAAGGACCGAGTGAGACTGGGAAGGACTGCCGCTTGTGAGGAAGGGGAAACTTTGGAGCTATATATCGCTTCTCCCTCCTTGTTGCGAAAGGTAAAATCTAATTTGATTCGTTCTTTTCCTTTTCTTCATGAAATTAATTTGGAACCTAGAACTAGTTCCTGCACGTAAGAATGATAATGAGAAATTTATAGATTTCCATGCTTTTGATATTTGATTTGCATAGAAGGAGAAAAACCTGAAATTTTACTAACAGAAACTATAATCGGGATTGTTAAGAACGAAAGTTAGTAAATTTGAAATCGGTTGATTCGTATTTTTAATCAAAGCCCTAATGAGAATAATTTTTAGAAAGGAAAGGGGAGTTTTAAATTATTTTTGTTTTGAAGCAAGTTTCAAGGAATGAGCCCCATTTGCCCTTCTTGTGACAAAGCTGACCATTTGACTACAAGTTGATCTCTTGCGGCCAACGATCGGGTTTTGAGAATTTCCCGATGGGATGTGTGTGTGTGTATATATATATATATATATATATATATATATATATATATACATTTACTCTCAAATGGGATGTGTATATATATTCTTATGATCGCTTTCTCTTTCTCTGTGTCAATTCCTTTTTTTTGGGTGTTCTCCAAACTATTTATGGTTTCCATATAAATTCTTATTTGAAAAGTATCAGTTTATCCGTTTGGTGTATGCTTTGAGTTGTTTACATGTTAGGTGATTCATGGGTTTTGTGTACGAATGCCTCTAGCTCCAGAGATATCATTGCATTTAAACTGAAATTCCCTTTCGTTTGCTGGATATATGAGCCCTTTATATTCAAGATATATGTTAAAATTCATCAATTTGTTACGGAAGTTTAGTTGCTAACTTAAGGAGCTAATGTACTTACACAGATCCCTTCCGTGTGATCTTGCGAGAAGCTGGGCCGCAAGTTTGAATTTTTTGCTCATCTTGGAGAATGCTTGAAGCCTCAAATTTTGTGTACTTGCATGAGCTTTCTGAATCTGTTCATGATTGATTATGCGTTCCTCTTGTGTTTTAGAATCAAGAACACTATTCTGTCACATGGGGATATTTGATCGCATTCACCCTATCTTCACACTCAGGTTCAAGCAGCTTCAGCATTTGAATGCCTCAACAGGTTTGCTTCTTGGTTTTCTATTGTGATTCAAACTTTACTTGCTGATAATGAGTCACTTGCATTCCAGAATCAAAATCAAGGATTTTCTCTAGTTGCTTGTCGCAATGTCCACTTAGGCAACAATCTTCCTATTCATCGGTGCCAATGAGTTCAGTACAGGCTCCTTTAAATCAGGAAGTAGTAATAGCTTTAGGGAGTAATGTGGGTGATCGAATAAAAAATTTCAATGAAGCTCTTAGGTTGATGAAGAAATCAGGAATCCAAATTTCAAGGCATGGATGTTTGTATGAATCTGAGCCCGCATATGTAACGGATCAACCCCGCTTTCTGAATTCAGCTGTTAGAGGAACCACTGGACTTGGACCAGTTGAACTGTTGAAAGTGCTGAAGCAAATAGAGAAGCAATTAGGCCGGACCGATGGCATTAGATATGGCCCGAGACCAATTGATTTAGACATTCTTTTCTATGGAAGTCACAAATTTGAATCAGATATTCTTACTATCCCTCATGAACGCATGTGGGAGAGACCATTTGTATTGGCTCCTCTCATTGATCTCCTAGGGATGGCTTCTAGTGATGATACTGAATCAATTTGGAATTCTTTCTCAAGCTGCAATGGTGGCTTATTTGAAGAATGGCAGAAAGTAGGTGGAGAAACATCAATTGGAAGGGAAGGACTCAAAAGAGTTTTGCCTATTGGAAGTCAGTTGTGGGACTGGTCTAAGAAAACACATATCATGGGGATCCTCAATCTGACACCTGACAGTTTCAGCGATGGAGGGAAGTTTCATGAAGTAGAATCCGCAGTTTCTCATACTAGAAAATTAATCATGGAGGGGGCAGATATTGTTGATATTGGTGCTCAATCAACCCGCCCCTTCGCTCATAGGCTCTCTCCACGAGAAGAGCTTCAAAGGCTAGTTCCTGTGCTGGATGCAATCATGCAAATTCCTGAAGTAGAAAGGAAGCTTTTATCAGTAGATACCTTCTATGCAGAAGTAGCATATGAAGCAGTAAAGAGGGGAGTTCATATTGTTAATGATGTCTCTGGAGGACAGCTTGATCCTGATATTCTGACTGTAGTAGGAGAACTAGAAGTTCCCTATATAATGATGCATATGAGAGGAGATCCATGTACAATGCAAAGTGAAGGGAATTTGTATTATGAAGATGTTTGTGAACAAGTAGCCTCTGAGCTATGTGCACGGGTAAGCGAAGCCGAGCTTTCAGGAATTCCATTGTGGAGGATTATCCTTGACCCGGGCATTGGATTTGCAAAGACAACTGAACACAACTTGGAAATTCTCATGAACTTACCATCCATTAGGAAGGAAATTGCTAAAAGAAGCTTGGCTGCTTCACATGCGCCATTATTGGTTGGACCTTCAAGGAAGAGGTTTTTGGGTGATATTTGTGGTAAGGCCAATGCAGCCGAGAGAGATCCTGCCACTATTGCAGCTACTACTGTTGGAATTCTAGGAGGTTCTAATATCATTAGAGTGCATAATGTTAAAGACAATTTGGATGCTGCAAAGATCTGCGATTCATTGCTTAGAAGGAAAATAGTTGGGGAGACATCTGAATAGCATGAATATCTAAAGCCTAAACATCAACGTGAGTATGTAAGCATCTGGAAATTTTTGTTTGAACTTTTTTATTTCTAATATCGTATTTTATTAGTCATGATTATTTAATGGGGGATTTACATACATACCACTTTTCATGTTATTTACATATCTAACACCCTAAATATCAATATTACATGCATGACTACCACCCATAGAACAAATTTGGGTGTATGGAATGAAATATTAAAGTTTATAGGATGGTATGAATGGTAGAAATGAATTATAGAAGTGGTATATTTGATATTAAAGTTTTATATGAGTGGTAGGCATGTAATATTAATGTTTTGGGTGTTAAATATGTAAATAGCATGAAATAAAGTGGTATGTATGTAAATTTATGCATTATGTGATTAGTTGGAATCCTTGGTGGGTTAACGGACTTCCACCTATTATTAGCCTTTTCTGTCAAGTTATGCTTCAAGTGAGCTAAGAAAATAAAGAATAAACTAAAGGTCAAAGATGGTTTATTTCTCTTTATATAGGGTTTAGATGCAGTGAGGGTGCATCATAAGATTTCTTGTGCAAAGGTTTTGTTTGGATTTATTTGCTGTGAATGAACTTTTTATGGATATAAATTGATATTGATGTTTTATAATTGCTTGAGATTGATTATGAAAATATCTACATTGTGATCATAATTTTTGGTGATGATAAAGACAGTTCTTGACATATATTGTATCAAAGTGGAATTACTTTTTAATGAATATTAACTAGAAATCTAGATCATAACTTTCTTAGTTCCTTCAATATAAGAAACAACAATAACAACAACAACATCCAGCCTTTGTCCCGCTACGTGGGTTGACTACATGAATCATTTTTCGCCATTGTGTTCTGTTAAAAGTCAAATTCTCATTTAAATCCAATAAAGAAAGATCATTTCTAATATTTTCTAACCAAGTTTTTTTAGGTCTATCTTTCTTAACATAAGTCAAATCTAATATCTCAACTTTCCTAACCGGTCATCAGAAGGCCTCCGTTTATTGTGACCAAACCATCTAAGACAACTCTCTATAATCTTATCTTCCATTGGAGCTACTCCAACCTTTTCACGTATATGCTCATTTCGTATCCTATGTCTAATGGTAAGGCCACTCATCCACCTAAGCATCCTTCAATATAAGAAACATGATCACTAATTTTGAAAGATTTGTTAGATTGAAGGCTAGGGTTGTGACAGAATGGTATCATAATATAGGTTGGATCTTCTGGATTTGAAACTAGTTCTGAACGTGTAGTTAGTCTATTTTAGAAAGTGCAAAACACTAAACTGAGTTATTTGCATAATCTATCACCAAGAATGACAAGTACTGATTTAGGAGTAACATGATAGAAAAATTGAGGTTTACTTATGAATGCTAGGAGTTAATTGTTTCATAGTTTCATGATAAAGTATTGTAACCCATAATATACATTCAAATTTCCAGGTGGAATTTCTGTTAGGGAAGAGTGTAATGACTCAAAAATTATAAATTTAATTAAGTACTATTAATATTTAATTAATGATAATAGCTTGCTAATTATGTTTGATTAATGCACCAATGAAATTAAATTAATTAGATAGAAATAATATATATCTGATTAAAAATAAGTGCCTGTTAGTTAAATAAGAGTTATTAATTAGGCAAACATAACAGTTGATCAAATCAGTATTAATATTACATGATTAAGTCAGTGCTGAGCCTGTTAATTTAATTAATTATGATTAAATAATATTTAATTACATTATTCATAATTATGATTAATTATTTATGTTATTAAATTAGCTTGGTAGATCAACTGTTAAAACAAAGTAAATTTCTGATTAAATATTTTCTTTATTTGATCCCATATCAGGAACTATGAATTGAACAGATTGAAAATGTATGAAAACAATCTAACTCAGGTAATTGAATTACACCTGAGATTGAATGAGATGAGGCTGGGGCTTAAGGCTGGAGTAGAAAGAAAGGTGGGAACAACCTAGGGCTGAGATCAGCCTTGAGGAAGAGATTTGGAACTGCAAGGGATCTTCTTTCTCTTTTCTCTCATATTCTTCTTCTTTCTCCTGATTCACCCAGTAATACACTTACTCCAAAGCCATCATCTTCAATGTCTTCATATGTATTACTTACCTTTTAGTTGTTTGATTTTTTGCCTCTATAAGGGAAGAAATATTTCCTTCTCTAATTAAACTATATAAATCTACCTAAAAATAATTATGCACCATCGATTCATAATATAAACATCATGTGCAAACAGTAGGTTAAGATAACTCTAATGATGTACGCATGCTGGAAACCCTTTGAGAGTATTAATAATTTGTAAGTTCTTGTTTACTAGTAATGCATTCATTAATTTGGGCAAAGTTGAATTGAATTTGGGAAACACTAATTCATTCCAAATATTATGAAGTTATTTAAATTCAGGGTTAGCTAAGTGTTTTTATCATGATAAAGAAGTTATACAATTATGTCATAAATAATCCTTTCACATTTAAACTTTAAATAAAATGATTATTTAAAGTAAGTGGAGATTTAATCAAATTAAAATAATCTTTGATTAAGGGAAAGAGCACGTAGCATGCCTATTATGGACAATGGGTTGGGAGGTTTGTGTAACCATGTCTTTAGTTAGAATAAACAAATAAATTAAGAAGATTAGCTTAGTAGAAGTTTAAATAATTTGATTTCATATTCTTAATGGCACTCATGCAAATAACTTATGGGTTCACAAGTGTTAAAAAGGGGGACAATATCAAGTTGAGAATTAATGACTTGAGTTCTTCTAAGACGTGGTCGGTGACTCTTAATATTTTATATGAACATCCTATATTTTTTTGTTTAGATTGCTCTTAGTCATTTATATGCACATGCAGGGGCAAATTTAGCATGGGGCCTTGGGGGCACGGGTCGCCAGTGACTGCTTAACTAATGCCTAAGGCTAGTTATGATTTGCCTCAAAAAAAAAATAAAAAAAAAAAAGTTATAGTAATCCTTAATTACTAAATCAAACCACGCTTCATGTTTACCGCCTAATTTATTTATTTTTTCCTTCCACCATTCCGCACTTCATTCAATTTTCAAACATGTACTTACTTCCAGCATTCTGCTATCAATTTTTCCCTTTTGCCAATCGTGAAGAGTCCCCTTGCAGCCCCGCTTCTTTCAAGCAGGTAGCTCATCAAGTGGCCCGAATAGAAACTCCGGATTATAGAGCGTGGTCAAACGAGGGTGGCGGAGAAGAAGAAAATAAGCTAATGTAATATTTATATTTATTTTCGTTAATTCGTTTTGCTGCACGGACCGCCTCTACCTCTAGGGATTTCTCATTTTCCTTCGCCTGCCATCTCTGCACTGCCGCATGCCGGAAATTCCTTCAAGTTCTTGTGTGTTTTTTTTTTAATTGTCTCTCATGCTCACTCCACTCTTTCTTCAAGTTCTTGTGTGTTTTTTTTTTAATTGTCTCTCATACTGGAACAGAAGGAAACAATAACAGGTTATTAGATCAACAACAACAACAACATCAAGCCTTTGTTCCACTACGTGGGGTCAACTAAATGAATACTTTTTCGTCATCGTGCCTTATTAAAAGTCAAATTCTCATTTAAATCTAAACAATTTTTTAAAGGATTCATATCATGATTATTTGACAAGTTCTACACTGGCTGTCGGCTATCTAACACAACCCTCAACTTTTCTCATTCAAGACTTTGGACCTGACAATGACAGTGTTATAACAAGAGTAAAATAAATAATAACTTGATTGAAATGAATTGATGCTCTCATGCTTCTTATGATATATTATTATGTTTTAGGTGAATACTTGATTAGTTTGATTTATTATACTGTCATATTGCTTTATTATACATGTTTTAAGAATAATGATATTCACCTTACTATGTTAATATGTTTATAGGTACAATTGCACCACCTTGTTATGTTGAAACATATTAAACCTTTGGTGGTTCAATGGCCTCACCATGTACTATTGCTATTTTTAGGCAGATTAAGCTTCATGAATTTGCTAAATATAAGGGAGCCAAGAAAAGAAAGAACAGCCCAAAGGTAAATATGGTTTTATTCTCTTTTTATGATATTTAGATGAAGCAAGGGTGATTCAATTGAATTTATTATGCAAAAGTTTTGTTTGGATTTAAGCTTCATTTGGGATGGCTTTTTTATTGCTTTCAAAAATAGCTTTTGAGCAAAAAAAATTCAATGAAAGATGTGAAAAAATAATGGTCAAAAGCTGTCACAAACGAAGCCTTAGTTCCCCTAAATGAGATATGTATAAACTAATGTTGATGTTAAATAAACATCATGACCATTATGTTATCCTGACATAAATATTGGTGTCGATAGAATATATCAAGACAGATGTTATATTAGAGCAGAATTCTTTTTTAATTAATATAAGTAACTAATCATGATCATTACTTAGTCAGTTCCTTCAATAATGGCATGTGGTCATTAGCTTAGGAAGATTAGTTAGATTGAAGATTAGGATTGAGACAAAAAAATATGATCATGTTATAATTGTTAATTTTGTCCGGATAAGATCTTGTGATTTTTCTCTTTTGAAAATTTTTATGTAAAAACTCTTGCACTTTATTTTCACGAATTTTCTGACCAACTAATCATTCCATCAAACTCCAGTAGAATCTCAGTAAAAGCCAGCATTAACTTGAGCTTGATAATGCTCGACTCAAACTCAAAACTCGATAAATTAGTGAATTAATAAGTCAAGATAGTACTTAAACACTCGTTTCTTATACCAACTCGGTTTAACCTCATCACAAGCTTTTTTATTGCTTTCAAAAATAGCTTTTGAGCAAAAAAAATTCAATGAAAGATGTGAAAAAATAATGGTCAAAAGCTGTCACAAACGAAGCCTTAGTTCCCCTAAATGAGATATGTATAAACTAATGTTGATGTTAAATAAACATCATGACCATTATGTTATCCTGACATAAATATTGGTGTCGATAGAATATATCAAGACAGATGTTATATTAGAGCAGAATTCTTTTTTAATTAATATAAGTAACTAATCATGATCATTACTTAGTCAGTTCCTTCAATAATGGCATGTGGTCATTAGCTTAGGAAGATTAGTTAGATTGAAGATTAGGATTGAGACAAAAAAATATGATCATGTTATAATTGTTAATTTTGACCGGACAAGATCCTGTGATTTTTCTCTTTTGAAATTTTTTATGTAAAAATTCTTGCACTTTTTTTTCACGAATTTTCTGGCCAACTAACCATTCCATCAAACTCCAGTAGAATCTCAGTAAAAGTCAGCATTAACTTGAGCTTGATAATGCTCGACTCAAACTCAAAACTCAATAAATTAGTGAATTAATAAGTCAAGAGAGTACTTTAACACTCGTTTCTTATACCAACTCGGTTTAACCTCATCATAAATGGGGCAGAACGAGCTATATTTTTTAGGGTGGACAAATTCATTAAATGCATAATTAAATATAAAAAAATAAAAAATGTGCAAGATTAAATCCCAAAATTGTTCCATTCATATGTAGAAATAAATTTTGAGGATGGATAAAACCAATTTTTAAGTTGGGGCAAAATCCATCAGTAAATCAACAAATTGCTTGGCATTCCTTCTTCAACAAATTTAACAATCTTATATTATATCATCATTTTTAATTTATAAATTTATTATAAATATGAATGATGTGATATTAAATTGCAATATTGAATTATATTTGTTTAAATATCATATTAGTGTCCTCTATTGTCTAAAATTGCTCTATCATCCAATATATAAAACTATAATACTATTCAATTCTCAAAGAATATCAATAAAAATATGGGTAGTGAAATATAATCTGAAATTATTTTGTCATGAATAACATGCAAATTGATAGGTCTTTTTCCCTGTAAAATTTGTGCTACTTGGCATATTTTGATACTAAATAAATTTTAGACAGACTCTTGTGCAACTCTCTCTAAAACAAAGATGGTGCCTTTGTCATCCCTTCCAATCCTCAGAGAATCATCAATGTATCTATCATAGCATAGGAAACAACCAAACAAGATTTACTGATGATAGTTCCTCATGATCTATATCTTGGAGAATATTGCATGAATTTTTTAAAATGATAGCCAATTAAACACTTTTATACTACATTACAAAAGCTTGGATGTCACGCTAGCTTTTCAAAAACAAGTTTAGGCTTCGTCTGAGACAACTTTTTTATTGCTTTATAAAGCAGCTTTTTAGTACAAAAATCTCTTGAAGAAAGCTGCTTTAGAAAGAACAATACTAAGTTTCTTAAAGTTAGTCAATATCTTACTGAAGAGAATAATTTACTTCATGATATGTTCTAATGATATTGCTTTGCTCAGCTCCATAACAAAATCTAAACAAAGGATACGTTATATCAAGCCAGCCTGCAGGATTGAAGATTTCAATCAAAAGGTCGTAGTTCTTCTGGAACAAATTCATTAACTGTCCCATCAAAATATCAACAATAAGAAAATTAATGGAATTTGTTTATTGGTATAGAACATCACTATTTCTTCACCTATAAGCTGAGATTGAATGTAACCTGATCAGGCGTGATGATTGAATTTTCAAGTTTGATGTTGACCCTCTGAGGCAATAAGTGTAATGCATTGTGAGCTTCAAAACTTTAATGTAGTTTAAGAAAAAAAAAAATACTTATGAACATATCCAGTTGAAGAAATTAAGAGTAACTCTCACTGTTTTTGATGCTATCGTATATGATGCCTCAATAGTTAGTTGTCCTGTGAGCAGCTTTAGGCCCTTTGCATTGAAATTGATCACATTAATGGCTCTCCCCTCCATTATTGAGCAAACAATGGAAAGTTAGTAACTTAAGAAGCTTTTCTGCAGCTGTAATGCAGGGCAAGTGAGGAGACTTTTATCTCATCAAATTGCAATGAGATTATTACTATTGATGAAAGAAAGATTTAGGTTTTCCTCAGTAGGGCAGCTTCTTGAATGAGAGAACTTGCCTGACCTTTGCTACATCTATTGTCTGATAGAGATCTCCTAGGCTGATGAAGTCACGTAAGCCAAGCTTTGTTCTCTTAGATCCAAGTATCGTAATAGTACTATAGATGAGCTTCCAACATCCATCCACCTTTTCTCTTGCAGAATATAATAGTTAAAAACTTAGAGGTTTTTTAAGCAAAACCTTAATAGTTGCAGCAGTGGCAAAAATAACACAGACATGTCACCTTATTCTTGCAAAATCATATTTGTTCACCATAGAACATTGAAATATTCAGAATTGAAGTTATCGTTATAGGAATATTTAGAGAAGATCATGCAATTCAAGAAATTTGAAGATTAGGTTGAAGGGAGGATGTTGGAAATTCTTGGAAGAATCTTAAGAGCTTATTGAGCTCTTCTTGCAAGAGAGAGAGAGGGAGAGGGAGGAGGCAGAGACATAATTTGGATGAGGAAAATTTATCCTAAAACTTTATTAAAATTTTCCCCAAATCAATACATCTCATACAATGCCTATTTATAGACATTTACATTGTTGTGATAACCTGCATGAACAACATATACTAAAACTAGACCAACACCTCACAATCTTCACCTTGGTCTAGGTTTTACAATAAAAAAATCACCTGTGCACCTACAGCAATCTAACTGGCTTCATATACTAACTCCACGAGCAATCCAGTCAAACCGAGCTCAATCCTGCTCGCGAATGATCTCCACCGTGCGTTCCAAATCACAGCTCCAGCTTATGCTTCGAATACTGACCCGCCAGTCTTCCTCGAACACTCATGCGCGCTCCAACCTCCGACCTCGCACTACACCTGTCCAATTTCGTGTACGCGACCAACCTGTCGCCTAGGTTCTTGATTTTATCCACTGCTCCGACGCACAATAATCAAATAACCCCCTCGCCAATCAACCCGTAATCAGACTTGGAAGCTCCACCTCAAAGATCTGAACAGATCTTTAGTAAAGAACAAGAAAAATCTTGAATCTTCGGCCTTCGGTCCAATCTTTAGTTAAGAAAATTGAAATCCTAGTTCCGGAACTCGCACGGCCTCCTGTGTGACATCCGGGTGACAGGTTGGTCACGTAAACTAAATCGAACAGGTGTACTGCGATGTTGCATGAGTGTCTGAGGAAGACTGACGAGTCATTACTTGAGTATGAGTTGAAGTTATGGTTTGAAACTCACGGTGGAGGTCGTTCACGAGCAGGATTAAGCTCGGTTCAACGAGATTGCACTTGTAGTTAGTATATGAAGTCAGTTAGATTATTGTATGTGCACATGTGGTTCTTTGATTGTAAAACATAAACCAATATGAAGATTGTGAGATATTGGTCTAGTTTTAATATAGGTTATTTCTGCAGATTACCACAACAATGTAAATGCCTATATATAAGCATTGTATGAAATGTATTGATTTGGGGAAAATTTTAATAAAGCTTTAGGATAGATTTTCCTCCAAATTTTATCTCTCCCTCCTCCCTCTCACTCTCTCTCTTGCAAGAAGCTCTCAAGATTCTTCCAAGAATTCCCAACAAACCTCCCAGCTCTTATACCATTGGCATTGGCGGTAGAGGGTTTAACAAGACCATAATAATAGAATTATGTTCACTTTTGTTCCTTTTATCTCTACCTCTCTTCCAAGAAGCTCAAGAAGAGCTTCTCTTCTTCCTCCATCAAGATCCTAAAAGAGGAATTATTGAAGTTGAACAATATAGACTTCTAAAGTGTATTTGGATGAATTGCAGCATCAGAATTGGAAAGGAACAATAACGATCAATAAAATTTTCTAAGCAATTAATGACTTTCTACACAATACATTGCTGTTTTGAAGCATGGAAAGGTTATAAAGACAGTAGGCTAAACTTCTTGCTTTACATTATGAAATTTAATATCATATAATTCGGTACTGAGGGGCTCCACTTTTCAAGGTCCATTTCCTTGACCTGAAACTATTAATTTTTTATTGATATTCGAAGAGATGGCAGCCTTATCTTTCTTGGCATTTCCATAGTTACTCCTAAATGAAACAAAGAAATGCTACTTGTTTTTACTCACTACAACACCAATTTTTAGTGCACAACAGCTCCCAAAGGGAGGATAAATTATTCTGTGCAAACGCCGGACGCAGCTCTACGTTCGGAGGCAAATCAGGTGCAATCACGTCAGCGGTATCGAGCCGCGATACCGAGCGAAGGGATGACGTAACGCATTCTGGTTGGTCCTTCGACGGCGTTCAACATCCTCATAGAATAATTTTTTCCGAAGGGAGTGACATAATTAGCACATAAAACTCTAAAAAATTTTCAAATCTGTTGATTAGTTTGTTTATGCATACTGAACCCTACATGTAAAACAACCTTCAAATCAGATAATAAGGTGTTAGAGAGTAAAAATTAAAGGGGGACAGCACTGGGTAAGATACATTAGTAGTCAAATTTCATATTAACTCATAAGTTTAAGCTTATAAATATTTATATCTAAATACACGCAACCAAATAATAGATTTAAAAAAAAGTTAACCAATTTTCCAAATAAAAATTTAAATCTCCAACATCAAGAACCCAAATGTGACCTCATTAATGAATTCTATATAAAAGCAGCAACATATACCTTAGACTGCAGGTGATCAGTTGGATTTGGTGTAGGAGTCCTCGACTCCAGCTGCTCCACCAGCGTCTCTATCTTTAATTTCTTCGTAGATGTCAGTCCAAATACTCCTCTATTAGTACCTTCATCGGACACCCACCAAACAAACAAAAAATTTGAAGTACTTTCGCTCTAAACGATGCAAGAAGAAGCAAAATCTTACCTTGCAATGCCAGGTAAAGCTCTGCTTTGATGTCTTCCGTAGTCTTGTATACTCCAGTTCCAGGAGAAGCTTCTGAAGCTCCGGCCATGGGCACTTGCTTCGCCCAAAGGCATCGTCTTCTTCCTGAGGAAGGAAGTGGCTTAATCTCCAGGCCAAGTGGGTATGGAAGGATTCCTTCCTGTTGTGAAGCTAAAACTTGCGTGAGATGGCGATGTAGCGGGCGAAGCACCGCCGCAGTGGCTGCCATTAGGTTTCAGCCAGAGATAGAGCAGGCTGGTATATGTTGAAAAACTTATAAATGAGATCTAGGCTGATTTTTTTTTTTGGACATTTAAGTCTATTAAGATAAATTTATGCACACATCATATTTATAAAATTATTTTAAAAAATAATAATCCGAAACTTCAAAAAAAAGAAAAAATCAACTTTCCCAAAAAATTAAAAAGATCTAGACTGTCAGAAAATAACTAAACAAAATAAAAGCAGGGCAAAGTGATCTGTATCTGGTGGCCACATGAGAGGATAACGTTCGCTGGAAGCCTGGAAGCCTGGAAGCCAATAGGAGAAATTGTAGTTCTACTTTGGCAGTTCAATTTTTTAAAATAAATAAATAAATTTTTTTTTTTTTGGGGGGATATAAATGTACGTCACATGTATATTTCTCAAGTTTTTATATCTTATTTATTTATTTATTTATTTATTGTTATGATGTATCTTAAAAACATAAAAAATAATATAGCTTTTATGCAAATTTCTAGACGAGTATGGATAGGAAATATTGCTTTTTATATTATTTGCTGATTATTATACTTCTAATTATGAAGGTTAAGTTCTTTAAAAAAAAAGTACTAAGTTGATGCTTGAGCTTGGCTTATGTTAAATTTGAGCTCAAATTTATGAGTTTAATTAGCTCTAAATTTTAGAAAAAGAGGATTGATTTCATTAAATATATTTTCTTAAAAAAAAAATTATGAGGGAAATAATATTAAGTCAATTAATATATGGAAGAGGCTAGTAAAAAGGTCTCATTTGTATGTATATATATAACAAATGTAAAGTATTCATAGCTAGGTGATTTATCTCTCACCATTCCCAACAAAAAATAAAATAACATATATAAAAAAAAATTTTGACCCAAAGATTAGACAAGAAAAATATTTCTCAAAGTTTACAAGTTGAGCAATATACACGTCATTATTTATCACTCGTAGAAAAAAAATATGATGATTTAGTGAAAGCATTAGCGGCCAAATTTTGATCTCAGCTCTAGCACATGATTTCTTTAAACATTGAACTAAAGAAGAGCAAAACTTTTACTAGCATTTAATACAGCCGTGGAAATCATTGGGGCGAAGATCTAGCAACATCCTCCTTATAGGGTATATATTCTTTTTTCACCGATTATTGGAGTTTGATATGAAGTACATTGCGTGGGATTCCTTTGATGCAAGCCGAAGGTGCATTTACTACGCCTAGGAATAGATGATGAGGAAATTAAGTTGTGCATGATAGAAGAGGTAAACTATTTGTATGAATGATATTATCATTAACTACTTATGTTAAATGAAGTGATATAATGGTATGTAGTGGAAAGCTGCTTTGACTTTTATCAAACAAGTATGCGTGTTAAAATGGGTGTTTGGGTCGAGTTTAGATCAAATCTAGAAAGGAATTATTCGTGACTAGTCTAATCCGAAGTCAACCCGATTATAGAAATGGGTCCTAAATCTAAACCCAAATTTGGCCCGTCGCAAACCCGGGTCAGCTAGACCCAATAAGCTGACTTGGGCGAGCGCACAACATGCAAGCATTCATCGAGCACGGGCAAATGGTGGAAGCGAGGGTCAAGAGTGGGTGTGAGCGTGAAGCGAGCACGATTGCGTTGGTGCGGGCGAGACACTTAGATCTGCCAGCGCAAGCGATGTGGTGCAGCCGCACGGGCCTATAAGCGCGAGCGACGCGGTGCAACAACAAGACACAGTGCACGGGCTAGACATGGGGATGAGAGGTCATTTTCGGGTCATTTCCAGGTTAGCAGATTGAGCCAGACACTACCCAATTTTTTCAAACCGGTCAAGAATTGAAACCCAAACACAACTGATTTGTTAAACGGGTCAACCCGAAACTTTTCTGGGTCGGATTTTCAATCTGTGTCATAAATTTACACCCCTACACAGAAGTCATCATCTATAGTACATGTCTACTATATTGTATTAATATTTTCTCTAGTTATTAAAAAGAACATTATTTGCAATATATATTTTCGCCGCCTTAACACTCCTATTTCCATCATAAAAGTCATATTTCATAATTCATATTTATTGTATTATATTAATCTCTTCCTCAATTATGAAGATTTTCATTATTTGTAATATACATCTCGCAAAAGTGGAATGATTTTTTTTATTTCTAGAGTTTTTCTATCTAAATAAAACTCAAAAGTCTCCTATGTGCTTAATATTTCTATATCTTTTACGGATTTTTCATTCAATACGAAGATGGTAAACTTTGCCTCCTTGAGCATACAACAAAAAGTATTTTTATGATATTATGTTTCACAAAAGAGATTTTATAAGCTTAAGGGATTTGCATAGTTTACATGAACTAAGTTCTAAATTCTAAAATCTATAAATTGAATGATTTTTTTAGAAATTTTAAGGAATATTATCAAGAAGTGGCAAACAAGTAATTGAGTATCTCTAACGTGTTAATATTTTCATAATGTGCTGTGTCTTGATCTACTTAAAATTTTTTAGCCTAACAAATAAGAACCTGCTCTGATAACAATTAAAAATAATTTGATGTTAATCAAAATTGTATAATATATATATATATACAAAGAGGGGGGTGAGTTGATGTGTATTAAAAAATAGTATTTTTGTGTGGAAGTATTTCTAAATAAAAAAATAATTTAGAGTATGAAAAATAACAAGAACAGTTAAAACTTTTTGTAAAACTTGTTCAAAAATAAAATTTCTTATAAATAAAACTATTTTGAAATAATAGTAAATTTTAAATTATTTTATCAAGCAAAATTTTTATTAAGAACACTTGCTTGTTGCATTAGATATTTTTCACAACTCACCAAACCATCACAGTAAAGAAATAAGACTGAAATTGTGCAAAAAAATACAAAAAATGTTAATCATTTATAGTAGTTTGATTAACTTGACATATGTTCACTCCTCGAGAATTTCACTAACTCTATCATTTCGCTTCCTACAAGATGGAAAAGCCTCTCTCCTTTTACAAGCAAGGCAAAGAAGCCGTCACGTCACGTCACCTATTTGTTGTGTACCAACTGTGTATTGGGTGATGTGGCATGCTCTGATTCGCCTCGGACACAGAGCTACGTCCGGTATCCACACATAATAATTTCTCCTCTCCTTCACGATTAGTGGAGGAACCCCATGATACTTTTCTCTTAGAAAAGCAACTTCTCCCTAGCCTCCTTGACTATATCCAAGTTTTCTTACCAAGACTCACTGGAGCTCCTCTCAAAGAGATTGTACAACAAACTCAAGGATTAAAGAAATGGATCAGATTAAACAACCTTGGTGAATCCCTCGCCAAACATTTGATCCCGGCCACCCAAAAGTTCTCTCAAAATGTCTCTCCAATCTCTCTCAAACTCTCTTTGCAATCTCTAGTCAAAAGATTTGTAAAAACTCTCAAAAGCTCTTAGGAAAAACTAACAAGAAGCCTTAAAAGTGCTCTTAGATTTCTTGGTTATTGATATTTATATGATCAATCCAAAAAAAATACTAAAAAATTTGTTTATGAACATTGTCAGCCTTATCATATATGTGATCTAGAGATTATACAATATGATTAATTCAATCAGCATAAAACACTAAAAATTATTCTTTATTTGATCATATAGTATGATATATATCATACAGTATGATTAGTTCGAATTTTAACTTAGATCACTGAATCATATTATGCAAATGAAGATCATCCATACAATGTCTCTATTTTATTGAACTGTACGATAGGTATAATACAATACGAAATTTACTCTGATTTAGCCCCTTGATTTTACGTCGTAAAGTAGGATAAATCTCTTAAAAACATATTTAAATTTTATACGGTGCAAACAAATGCGTATAGTATGATTATATCATGACTATGAAAGTTAGGCATCCAATCATATCGGAGCATTAATATGTAAGTTTCTAAAATTATGGCAATGTCCTATTAAAAATCAAGATTTTAAAATATATTGTTTTTGTCTTTGGAAGCTATATTATATTTCTATGCTTTATTAAACAAAGAAACATAGCTATCAGAGAAAGTTGTCTTCAAATTTGGTTAAGTAAAATACATATTAATATTAGATGTTATTTTATCGTTTATGTCTAAAATGTGTATTATTGTATTTCAATTTTTTTATGATAAGGACAGAGATAATTTACCCGTCCCTATCTTATACTTTTTCCTCGAAAGTTTTTGGTAAATATTATGAATGCACCATGCATTATTAAGGCCTCTATGATGTTTGTATAGTAATTTAGATTTCAACAAATTTATTGCAAAATTAAATGTCTCGATGAGATGAAGTTATTGACGCTACAAATGATCATATCCGACTTCAAATGAGCTCAAATAAAATGCTTAAAATTATATTTAGAAATTTTTGAACATAAATATATAGATGAAATGACTTCCGATTATATCTTGCTTATAATCAAATCGAGCAGTTTGACAAGATGAATCAAATGAATCCAAGATCGCTCAATTATGATATATTTAATGTATTCAAGTGTTTGATAAACAATCTATGAACATTGGGATCAATATGGGTCGTATGATAATGTTCTGGATTGTGGTTGAATTTGCTAAAATATTCATTCCAAAAGGCTATAAATAGGGCAAGCAAGCCGGGTCCTGTGCTTTTTTTAATTTTCAGGTTTATTACGTAAAAAAATTCTGACCTTCTATAGATTTTTATGCGCGTTCTTGATTTTTGTACAACACTAAGACAGTAAACTCCAACTCTGCTGTCACAAATTTTCTAGCACATAACAATACTTTTTTCATATATCCTATAAATTAGATTAGATCCGGCCTCCGGGATATTTGAGCTATATCAATATTATGATAATTTAGTTTACTGTTCATAAAAGACTTCAAACAAGTAATTATATTTACAGTAACATGAAAACTTGGATAATATTGATTTGTAACTTGAAAATAAAATTAATTTGATCACCTCTTATTTTGAAAAAAAAAATATTCTATGTGGATGCTTAACATCTTTCGGAGACCAATCAGAATGCGCCAAGTAACCTATGTGCTCGGTACTGCGGTTCGGTACCGCTGACTTGGCGCATTCTGATTGGTCTTTGGACGACATTCTGCGTCCGGTCTCCGTATAGAATAATTTCTCTCTTGTTTGCGCCCTAGAACCTGAAGAAATTTCAACAAAATATATAGAGCACAAGTGATTCACCCTTCTCTTATGTCTAAAATTTCGATTACATATACAACCTAAAAGACGTGTTTTTATTAAAAATTACAAAGAAAAAAATTACAGAGCTTGATCAAGACAACAAAAACTCTACATAATATAAAAAAAAAAACAGAAGAATTTGATCAATCTCAAAATGTTCAAAATAATATCACTGCAACATTTCCAATAAAATTGAGACATATTGCTGATTTTGGCTCACGGATAATCTGAAGAAAATCTACAGTATGATTTGATTCTAATCCTAATTTTTAGTTTAATTTTCTAGGCAGGATAAGTGCTCGGATCTGATCAATCGTGATTTTAAATTTATTTTCAATCAGTATATTATGAGTTCAACCACAATTCTATATTGATATTAATTCAAATATTTTTTAACACAAAATTATGTTTTGAGGAATGTTAAAAGTTACCCGCCAAGTCTTAGGGAACCCCCATCCCGGGTTCGAGTCCCCCCTACTACTGTCTCTCTCTTCAATAGGGCAAAATAAGTGTGGGCCCGATGCCGAAGGGTTGCCTCATTAGATCCGCCGAGAGATTAATTACGCCGTCACGCCCTCCCTTTATATTAAAAGTTTATCCAATCAATGATTGATTGTATCAAATTAAATTAAATACTAATGATAATTTTCCTCTAATCATATTTAGATTTTATTTTGAATGGCTTTTTCAATGTTTTATAAAACTATTATTTTAGTAAAAAAATTTCTTAAAAGCAAAAAAAAAAAATAAAACAGTGATGTAAAACTGCCACAAATGAAACTTTAATGGCCATTGACTCTAACCTTTCTCTTCATAAGAACCTCAATGAAAAGTAAATCTCAAAAAAAAAAAAAAAAAAAAGTTGAGCAGATTTAAAATTCTACTTGAGCTTAATTAGAAAGCAAACAAACAAGCTTAACAGTAAAACGGGCAATCTCGACCGAATTCCGCTTGCATCATCTACAGGTTATAGCCCTAGCTCCCGGTTCAACGCCTTCCAAACCGCCTTCTCCGGTTCAGCGCACTCGGCACTTTCGAGGCCGGCGGCAAAGGGAGTTTGCCGGCATGTTGGGCAGGACGATCGGACTGCGAGCCAACGGTCCACGCATTGCACGTGGAAGCAGTGACCGCAGTTTGGCAGAAGCCGGACCCGTTCCCCCGGTTCGATTTGGTTCAAACAGATCGAGCAATCCGAGCCGTGGATCACGATGGGCAGCTTCCGGATCGCGTCCGTAGTCCGACCGAGGTTTATCGGGCCAGGTGGGTTCCTCGGGCCGGAACCGCTGTAGAGGCAGCGGACGACGAGACGAACGATGAAGTCCAACATAAGCGCACAGATCATGACGGAGAGGAGAACGGCGATGATCAATATGACGTCGGCGCCGATGCTGTTTCCGATGGGTTTGCCGGAGTAAACGGCGTCTCCGGCTAAACCGGTTTGGAGATGGCGGCGCGAGTTGATGGACATGGAGGAAGCCGGTGAGAGGAATTTCTCAATTTTATTAATGTGATTTCGCAGTGAAGGTAAGAATTGGAGAGAGGTTTTTATTTATAGCGGAAATACCAAATCTGAGGTACACTTTTTTTTATTACTTCTTTTATTTTTTTTAAGTGCAGCCATTTATTTATTCTTAAATCAAACTTTAATTTAATCATACCTTGGGTCAGACTCTTTCTCTCTCTTAGATTTAGGCTTAGTTTGATACGGTTTTTTTTATTATTTCTTAAAATAAATTTTTTATTACAAAAATTTTAATTTCATACTAAAAAATTATTTTAATAAGCAGTAAAAAAGTCGTCCCAAAAGAAGTCTTAATTTGGAATAATTTGCTTATTGTTTCTTAAAAAAAAATTTCTAATTCAGAAAATTTTAAAAATCTATCAACGAGTGAAAAATTCGTAACATCTATAGCTTAATTTTTTTCTATGAAAAAATCCTTATTTAAAAATTGGGAGGCTGTCATTTTTTTTGTATATATATATATATATATATAATTTTAGCGACTAAGAGACCATTGATTGCTTGAGGTAGGGCAATTGATTTTACCCTAAGAACAAAGATCAATAAAATTTATTCATAAATCCTTGCTATTTTTCTCTTTGTTTAGGGAGTCATAAATGGATTGATATGTGAAGAGGAAGAAACTGGTTGAGATTTGTTATATCATCAAAAAATTATCTAGATTTGGCACGAATCTCAAGGAAAATTTGAATCAGAAACTACCGAAATTAATTTCGGGACCATCCAAACTTTGATTTTAGCATACTTATAGTCGAATCGAGCTTCTCGAAAGGCTAACCCAACGACACCAAATTCGATTCAATCTAAGCTCAAATGGGTTCAAATCGATGGTCTGAAACACGTTTAGAACCTTCAAAGCATAAGTTAGACGATCAAATGATTTTTAAATGTGACGTGCTTATAGTTGAATCGAGCGGCTCGACGAGACAAATCCAACGAGCCCAAGATCTATGAATTCTAACATTATTAAGATACTCAAATACACGATAAATGATCCATGATCTAAGGAATAAATATCGTTTGTCCATCCGAAACACTTTCAACCTATATTTGATCTTCTCATTCTTTACTAGCCATGTCAGTCTTAAAAAACTATAAATAGATCATGCATTCTTGATAAAAGAGGAGAGAGAAAAGAATAAGAGGAAGAAAGAGAAATATGAGATCTCTCTTGCCACCAAGCTCCTCCTCAACCACCGTCGGGCCATCATCGGACTTCTGCCCAGCCACCGCCGACGTTGGACTTCCGCCCGACCACCAAATGTCATCATACTACTGCCCGATACCAGACTTCCGTTCGACCACCGACCAATGTTATACTTTTGTCCAACGTTAGAATTCCACCCGGCCATTGACCATCCCCAAACTTCAGCCCAGCCACCGACCATTATCGGAATTTCGCCCGACCATCGACCGTCACAAGACTTCTGCCTGGCCACCGACCATCGCATAACTTCCATCCGGCCATCGACCATCGCCGAACTTTGGCCTAACCACCAATTGACGTCGGACTTCCTTCTAACTCTCTCTAGTATTATAATTTTATCGTCTTCAAATTACATGAAGGATCAAGATTTGTAATTCATTCAAATACTAGTTGAATCATTTAAACTGGGACAAGCCTCATGATTTTTTCCCTTTTCCTTGGTTTCCACATTAAAAAAACTTAGGATTTATATTTTCTGTTGTGTACTGGATATTAATGCAATGCTAAGACAAAACACCCTCACTCTACTATCGCATATATTCTAGCCTGCCACAAGATTGATATTGATAGTCATCCAATTGACCCAATACTTTGGCCTACTATTTGGAGTTATGATCGATGTCAATGAAATAAATAGAGTTCGAAGAGCATATTTGGTGAAGGGTCCCTATTCGCCAAAAAAATCATAAGTTATCATAGATACTAATAGAAAATATTGCTAGGATGTTTAATTCAAAATGGTTCAACAAAATATTCAAAATGATTAGAATAGAGTATACATAAGATGCTGCATTCTACCTATATTGCTTCTTGTTCAAGGTTTAAGAACAAGCCACTAAAGGTCAAGATGAAGGAGGCTCATTTGTTGAGTAAGTGTTTAAAAATTGGAAGATAAAAGATAAGCTATTAGCTTATATTGGAGAGCTTAATAGCACTCATAACAAGGCAAAATAGAAATGTGAAGGCTTAATAAATTCTTAAGTACAGCGTGGCTAAATAAATATGTCAAAAATAAGAAAGAATATCAAATTATATTAGTTGCATTTGTTGATTGTGTTAGATTCCTTTTGCATCAAGAATTAGCATTTTATGTTTATGATGAGTTGCCATAAATATCAAAGGAAATTACTTGGAGTTATTTTGTATATTATCTTGTTAATAATAATGAAGATATTAAGAAAGTTACTTTGAAAATGCTAATTCTAAGTTGAAATTGACTTTACCAAAAGTTCAGAAAGAGATATATTCTACTGCAGTTGTTGAAACATTAGTTTCACTCATATATTGGCTATTCTTATTTTGCAATTATGATAGATGAGACTTATGATGTGTCAAAAAAAGAACAACAGATAGTCAATATGAGATATATGGATAAAAAAGGGAAAGTTATTAAAAGATTTATTTGTATCAAATATATTTTCTCAATAAATAACGTTGCACTTAAAGCAACCTTTTTTGTCAAATATTCATTGAGCTTACATAAAATACATGGTCAAGGCTATGATGAGCAGTCTAATATGCAAGAAGAGTTTCATGGTTTGAAGATACTTAATCTTAATGTTAATTCTCAATAATTTTATGTCTACTATTTTGTCCATCAACTCCAACTATGCTTAGAAGTTGTTGCAAAAAAATATTGACAAGTGAAACATATGCTTGAGTTCACTTTGAATACTATTGGAGCTTCTTGTTAGAGGTCAAATGCTCTTAGAGTCATTCAACATGATAAAATACTTTTGCATTTAAAAACTGGCAAATTTATCAGTGATTAAGATTTGAATCAAGAGACCATTTTACAACAAGTAGATGACACTCGTTGGGTTTCACCTTTTCATACTTTAATTAGTCTTATGAAAATATATGTTTCTATACGTGAGATGCTTGAGATTATTATAAAAGATGGGGTGAATGATCAACTATTAGTTGAAGCGAGTGTCCTAATTGATGTAATATAATCATTTGATTTTGTTTTTACAATACAGTTAATGATTGATATTTTTAAGATTACAAATGAGTTATCGCAATACTTAAGAAAAAAAAAGACTACGGCATTAAGAATGTAACGAAATAGGTGCACGTATCAATACAATTGTTACAAATGATGAGAGAGCATGGATAAAAAATTTTATTAGATGAAGTGTCATGCTTTTGTAATATCTTAAAACTGATGTTCCCAATATGAATGATACATAAAAGGCTCGTCAACAACTAATGCAAAGATGTGAAGAAATAAAAAATACTTGCATCATTATCATGTTGAGTTATTTTACACTATGGTTGATATATGATTTCAAAAGTTAAATAATCGTTTCTCCAAAGCTAATACTGAGTTACTTCTTTATTTTGGCATACTTAAACTCAATTGATTAATTCATTGTTTATGATAAAGGGAAATTAATTTGCCTAACAGAGTTATATCCAAATGATTTATCTACAATTGAGCACATAACTCTTGAACATCAACTTACCACATACATTACTGATATGTGTATTCGTGATGAGTCTTTATCCTTAAGCACCATTGTTGATTTTGCAAAAACAAATTCTTAAGGTAAAGAAAGCTGATGTACATCTCTTAATTTTTGAGTTATTGTCCAAGCATTAATTTTACCAGTCGCTACTGCTACAATGAAGATAACATTTTATGCAACAAGAATTATCAAACATCGATTGCATGATATGATGAATGATGATTAGCTAATGACTTTCTAGTAATTTACATTAAACATAAAGTATTTGATTTGATTTTTAATAAAATAATAATGCAACATTATAAATAAATACAAAATAGATTAATAAACTTGTAAGCATCGATAATAATGAAAAAAAAAAGATTTTGCTCTGAATTATGGGGTCTATTACAAAATAAATAAATAACAGTAAAATTAAATTTGTTTAGGATTAAAAAGAGTAAAAAGTATATCCTTAGTATCCTAATATTTTTTTTTTTTTTTTGCGTTATTTATGAGTATATGAAATTTTATAAAAGTTTAAAATATAACTCATAAAATTTTTATAACCATAAAATTTCTAATATTTTTAAAAGTCATTAATTAAGTTGAATACTTGAAACGTTTTAAAATTGTTAACATCAAAAGTGTAAAATTATTATGACACAGCTCACGGCTATTGTGGTGGCCCCCGCGCATGCAAAACAAACGTTCTAATGCTTGCTTTTATTGAAGGTTTGTTGATGGAGCAGAATTCTCATTTTTTAAATAACTTTAAGAAAATGATATTTTAATTTTATTTGTGAGGGTTAAAATGTCTTTTTTTTTTAATATTTTATAGTTCACTTTCAATAATACTAGAATTATATTAAACTATTAAAATTGATTAGAATACCATTTTATTTATAGTAATAATAATTGTTGCATGCTAGAATGTACGCGACGGTAGAGTTTATAAATTCGCGTCCGAGCATTGTACGAGTATTCAACACAAACAAAAAAAAGAAATGAACACCAAGGTTTTTACGTGGAAAACCCGAAAGAGGGAAAAACCACGGGGCCTCGCCCAATTGTAAAGTTCCACTACTATTTGTTTGAAGTACAAAGGTTAATCCGTCTTACAAATCAAGACGATCAGTTTACAATCAACTTCTCACAAAGTTACAAAGTTTTGCAAATTCCCGGCGTTTCCCGAAAATCCGGCAGAGTTTCGGTGTCTTCAGGCGGCGGGAAGAGCTCCGGCGGTGGTCGAGGAGGAGCTTCTTCCTTCTCCTCCTTCTCTTTTTCTTCTCTCTCTTCACTTGAGTCCCCTTTGTGAAGAATGAGGGCTCTATTTATAGTTTTTCTGGAGTGGCATGTCTCGTAAA